TAGCGTATCGTCATTGTACGGCAAGACGCATGAAGCCAGCTAAGACGTACTTCGAAACAAGTCCGATGTACCCAAAGCTGGCTTTACCGCATTACACAGCGGCGACAGGAGCAAGCAACTTGAGTAATAATTCCAGAGAGAGAGAGCGAGAATTATTTTAATGGGAAGCTGGAGAGGTTTGCCTGGTTTTTCACCTGACAGGCTACTCCAGTTGCCGGGTGATGGCGGTGATATATACAATGATAAACACACAACACATACAATTACATACACGCATAACAGTCACATAACACACAGTCTCTCACACGCACTGCACAATTTACAACGTTTCGTTCAAGCCTGTGGCCCGTAAGAACGTCAGTAGCGCTTTCGTAGAGTCTAACGCTCTGGAGGTGTTCTGCCATGGGCCTAGAATATTTTTTTAACTCCAAATTTGTGTCCTGATGCATTTTTAAGCCCATCTTCAGAGACTGTCTCTCTTATACGTATTTCGTACACTCACACAGGACATTTTTGATGTCTTCAACGACGTTACATTGGGCACAAAATGCTGAGTCAGACAGTTCAATTTTGTTCCAGAAGTAGTTCGTATACGCTACGTTTAATCGGATGCGGTGTAAACACGTTTCTTATTGCCTGTTGAGATTTCGCGGCATCCTGAAGTGACACGATGGATCAATCTTGTACAGAGGCCCATACTGTTGGCTAGAGTCTGTCCAGAGGGATCGCTGGAGGCGCCAGGCGTGTGCCGACACTAGCGTTTCTGCATCTTGCCTCAAAAAAGGTATCTCGACGATTTCTGTTGAACTGTCATGTCCAGCTTTGACAGCGTCATCAGCCCGAACGTTGCCTTGTATTCCGCAGTGGGTAGGTATCTACTGCAGAGAAATGCGATGATGGAGGTCACAGGCTTTCTTGCATAGGCGTTTGATGTCCATGACGAGTTGGTCCTGTGTGCGTGGAGATCTCAGCGACGGCATCGCTGCTCTTGAGTCAGTGAAGATGACCCAGGACTCGACTGTCTGGTCAATTATGTAATTAATGGCAGCCCGCAGTGCAGCCTGCTCAGTGGCTGTAGATGAGGTGCAGTGACTGAGGGTGGCAGAGATGGTGACATTGACTGATGGAATCCAGACACCTATGGCAGATGATGTAGACGTGACAGAGCCGTCAGTGTAAATATGACGGTGAGCTCTGTAGCAGTTTTCCAAATGCTCTAGAGTGAAGTGTCTGAGTGCTGGTTCGGGTGTGCGTCTTTTGCTCTTGAACCCAGGCACAAAGGTGACTATGGTCCACGAAAGAGTTTTCCACGATAGTTCTGCATGAATTGATGCTCTCTGATAGTGTAGCGGGAGGAGGCTCCGCACATGGCTACTGTCTGAAGCAAGAGGATGATCCGGCGCTCTGGTTGCATAACGAGAGTGGACTCGAAGAAACTCCTGCTGCAGAAGAACAAGAGCTAAAAGGCGCCTGCTTTCAGCAAGGGTTCCGATGCTTGATGTGTTCTTTGGAAGGCCAAGGCACACCCTCAGTGCTTGTGCCTGGACTCCAGTCAGTGTCCAGTCACTGTCTGTATGTTCGTTCGAGAAAGTCTATGCATCGCAGGAATGCTGTAACGTAGAAGACCTTCGCAGAGAGCGGTATACATTTGTAACACAGCATTAACGGTACAGCCACCGGCATTGCCTGTTAGTAAGCGAAAGATGCTCGCGTATGACGCAACTTTTTCCTTTAATATCCGAATGTGGGGAGTCCATGTCATTAGCCAGTCGATTGTCACTTCCAGAAACTTATGATTTGTCACGTACCGAATGGGAGAATGAGCTACCTTTAATGTGTAGCGTGAGACATCACGCCTCGTAAAAGCAATGGCGGCACACTTTTCTGCTGACATCATTAGACCTCGTTCGAGCAAAAATTTCTCGATGGAGTTGAGAGCTTTCTGCAATCTTGCTTGTAGAACACGTCTGTTGCGACCGGTGCTCCATATACAAATGTCATCTGCGTAAAGTGAGATATCTGCCGATGCTGGGATGCACTTCTATAGTCCGATGAGAAAGATGTTTAATAAGGTTGGACTGAGGACGCCGCCCTGGGGAACTCCTTGATGCACTGTGTGTGGAGTTGTGTCACCTTCTTTTGTGGACATGTAGACTGTCCTGTCTCTGAGGTAGTCCAAGATCCAGCGGTACATACAATCTCCTACACCTGATGACCTCAGGGCGTGTAGGATAGACTCATGAGTCACGTTATCAAACGCTCCTTTGATGTCCAGGAATTCCAGAGCCATGAAAAGCTCTCTGCGGAAACGACGAGGTGATCAGCGCCACCGCGTATCTCTCAATTGTCGATCAACAAGGGGCGCTGTGTCGCTGCAACCCGCGCAAGACGTCGAGTGCGACGTCGATCAAATGATTGCGCGTAACTTACAGAGCATCAAAACATTTTTTATTCACTGCATCCTGTAAAAAAACGCGCCGTCAGCTACCTTGGTGGGAGCGGTGAGGCTCTTTCATTAAAGGCGGCGCAGTCACCCGGGACGGCTCGTCCAGGCGTGAATTGGAGGCGACAAAGGCGCGCACCGCTGGCTCCATCAGAAGGGCGCGTATGCGGGCGCTCCTTCCTTTCAGGGCGCCGCGAATCGCAAAGTTAAACACACACGAAAACAACCCACACGAAAGGTCATGTGTTTAAAGCAGAGTAAATCAAGTTTGAAGTGTCTTTTTTTTTCTTGCTGTCATTCTTTTGCACACCGCCGATGTAGAAATGACTCATTCGTTTTCATTTCTCTTTTGATAGCAATTGCCGGAATGGGATTATTTTTGGTAATATTGTTTGGTTGCCTTCTCGATTACCAGCCGAATACGCATGCTATTCTTTTTTATAAAACGTCGTTCACCCTTCTAATTCCTGCTGAACTGTAAGACGTATCAGACTGATTCATTCAATAATTTCCGGCAATCACCGTTATCCGGGGTGCTATCTTCGACACCCATCCGTTCCCACCATCTTGTCAAATTCCAAGAGTAAACAGAGCAACCCCATAGGCTAATCAGACTTAAAAGCTGGCAATTCTGATGTCATGGCGCAATACTGAAACATCCGAACCGGGGTATATATATATATATATATATATATATATATATATATATATATATATATATATATATATATATATATATATATATATATATATATATATATATATATGCGAGGATCTAACAGACAATAATGCCAAAGAAAGTATAGGGGCAAATATTAGACCAAATTGTAATGTAAATATGAAGAAAAGTGGGTGAATAGATAACTTGCCGTGGGCAGTTATCTTTCCTTATTCATTAACGAGAGTCTCGTACTGGCAGACTTAGTGCCTTTGGGTTGTATACGAGGGACTATTGGTCAGCTGCCCACTCGTAACAAGTTCACGTGCTACGTGACGCCAAACAGGCTCAAAAGAGTGTGCCACATTCACCGCCATGGCTACTCGTGGCGCTGGCTGACACTCCCACATTTAATTCACATATAAACCCTATAAAGTGGCTGGGGGGATAGCTGTCGTGGTAGCTCAGTGGTAGAGCATCGAACGCGTCATTCGAAGGTCACAGGTTCGGATTCTGCCCACGACAAGTGATCTTTTCACCCACTTTTCTTCATATTTACATTACAATTCGGTCTAATATCTTCCCCTATACTTTCCTTGGCATTATTGTCTGTTAGATCTCATTAATATTGTGTAAAAACACGGATAAACGAGCCCTTAGGTATACACTTCTTTCCCTTATATATATATATATATATATATATATATATATATATATATATATACTGACGCATATAGCAGGCAGACGTCCGAACTTGTTCTGTGCTAATGTGGCACCTGAAACTAAGTTGTCTATTTGTGCGTCAAATATAACTCAATTCGGCCCAGTTATGCAATTCTTCGTGCTGATCTTAATATTTATTCTGAGCTATTACGGTGTTCAGAATATCTCGCATAGTAAATGTGCCTCGCGAAATCAATTGAACATTCAAAAATGCCCATATTCGCGCACCCATACTTTAAATATGGCAACAGATTTTGAGGGTCTTTCACAATATCGCTAAGATGATTCGATGGCAAAAGCAATAAATTAAAGACTGAAATGGCTTGTCACAAGACGGCCACATTCAACTGAGGAATCCAAACCAATTCGCCCAACTCAGAGAAGCGTTTGGTTTTTCAAATTTGTTGTTGTACGTGTCGGGCCTCCTGCGTCGTTGCATACCTGCACGGGAAACCGCACGCTCCCAGATGGTGGTGTGGCATATGCCGAATAGCTGTATTTTTTTGTATGCGATGTTCCGTGCATGTGGCATTTTTGTAGCATTTCGATCTCCCGCGTTGCTCTTGTTTGAAGCCACCTTATCTCGACACTTGTAGGGCCTTAACCTTAGCTCGACGCGTGAGCGGCACATGCACGCACGCACAAGAGCACGCACAATGAGGTCGAAACCATCGTGTGGGCACAACACTCACTCCATTCAGAACGTCGTGTCTTTTCATTGTTGACACTGGCAAGTGCACTCCACATTTCAGATATATTGATACCTAGCATGCTGTCACGAACTGTGCAAAAGAGGCTACAAAAACAAATCATCCTCATGTATCGTACAGATTTGCAAGTTTTGTGCTAGTAGCAAAATGTCGTCTTGAACTGTCATTCGTAGCTTAGACGTTGCCACTACTAAAGGCGAACATTTCCAAGCAGCCCTTAAGCTTGCTGCTACTCTACCTTGTGTAACACTGAGGAGCGCAGAAAAGCCGCTATATTCGTAATCATTCAGAATGGAGAATTTGGGGATTACAATGAGAGCTCTCTTTCCTGCGTACGAGAACGTCTCGCTCGAACGAGTTAAATTTATGGCAGTCTTCTGTACAATCATATAGTTTGGGAACATGTGGACCCCGACATCAAGTTCATTAGAGGTTATGTTTCACATTGTTCCTTTTCTACCGGCAGACACGAAGATATGCAAAAACTGCGATGCCATACTGGCCGAGTTGGAGCACATCAACGACGAAGCGGAAAAGTTCGGCGTGGCTTTCGTCAAGAACAGCGATCGACCGACGGCGAAGAAACTCGGCATCACCAAGTTCCCGTCGCTTGTCTACTTCCGAAACAAGGAGCCCACCATCTACGAAGGTACGATGCCGTTTGCCACCCCACGATTCTATCGATTGTCGCAGGTTTGAGTGTCAGTGGATCCCGGGTAAACGGGACGCAATGTGCCATTAAACTCATCCCTCTCGTATGCTCTGTGAAAAAAAAAAAAAACGTAAACAGGCATTGTGTGGTCGAGCCGACGTTTCGACAAGTGGACTCGTCTTCCAAGTGATCGCCTTAGCGCTGGATGCTTTGCACGCCTTTCTCCAGCCCAAACAAAGAAGAGAGGTTAGGGTAACAGGGGAGAGAAGGTGGAGGAAAGGGTACGAAGCATATGCGCCCTAGTGCTTAAGAAATCAGTTCTAGCCTTGAAAATACGGGCCCACCTGTCGAAACGGTGGCTCGACCACACAACGCCAGTTTACAGATTCTTTAATCGCAATTTTCCGTCTTCCCTTATCTGCCGTTTTTCTGCCGTTATCTGCCGTTTTCCCTTAGCGGCCGGTGCGTTGAAGACGCTTGCGCTCGGCTTCCTTGGCTTGCGTCTCGTCGGTGTTACCCCCGCGCCGTCTGTATTCTCGAACGTGATTGCACGCATAGACGCATGCACAGACGGACGGACACATGAACGGATAGACACACAAACGCTTCGCCCCTCTCACCATCATTCACTCCGTGGATATGCTGTGATTTCTTACATCTCATATGTAAGAAACTATAAACTGCCATACCCAAGCGACATATTAAGTCCATGATAAGCAAACGGTATCAGCGCACGGTAATGAGTTTGCAATCACGCAACCAGATTTATTCCTCGTAATTACGCGTACAAGGTCAGCTGAAGGGCACTCAGAATTAAAGTTTAAGATCCTAGGTTTTTGCCATAATGTAGCACTCTCAACATGCAGTCACTTCTATTTACCATTGGAATGCGGCTTATCCTCAGATTCTTTGCACAAAACCTTTGCCCGTCACCTCGTAGAGCCTCTCGAGACTGAGCGACTAAATTGCTCAGACGACTGAGCACGTACGCTCCAGAACTCTTCCTAAATATCTTTCAGCAATACTACACTCCTGAATGTGATGAGGTTCATGCGATCAGCTTTCTTTCTCGCTTATTTTTCTATCATGCGTCATTAAAACAGTGTTTGAAAGTTTATATACGCCGATGTACACAAAGTACCAGGAATAGTTGTTTAGGAAAATTAATAAAATCGTTTTTTCTTGGACGAACTCTACTGCGCAAACCTGGAGAGCGCTGTGTACGTATACGTGAACCTCATTGGTGCAAGTTTACTGACTTGACCTTGTCCAGACTAAATGGTCGCTTAGCGCTGTTTTAATATGCACCTGGAGTGTTTACCACTAGTGCGTATTTTGTTTATCTTGAGCCTGATATCGGCCTACTGTCCCATATCACTGGATAGAGTTACGAAAACAGCGTTTGTTAATCCCCCTCCCCCTTTTTTTTTTGTAAACAGCTCCAAGCGAACGGGCTTAGAGTGGTTTCTGCTTATTTAGCTGGGCTCCACCTCTGCATGATTAAATAAGCCGCTATTTATTCAATTAAAATGCGTGAGTGCCCGAACGTGATGAACACACACGCATGTGCCACACATTATTGTGAGTGTCATGTGCATCCGTCCGTCCGCCTACGTCGCCCCACTCGCCATCATTCACCTCGTGGACATGCTGTTTTTTTTTCCTCGCTGTTGGTTGCATTCAAAGAGATCCACTTGTCAAGCGTGTTGACGGAACTGTTTGCAAAGTGCAAAATAACGTGATTTATTAAGATAATTAAGCTTTCTGCTTTTCCTGCTGTGACAGCCCTTTGTGTAACTGAATAAAAAAAAGAAAAACTGGCTACAAAATATTTCCCAGCCTAGAAGCGAAGAAGAAAAAAGAAATATTCGGCCAAGGCAAACGATTGTCCAGTGTATTTTTTTGCTTTTAAACATTTCTCTGCTGTTCAAACAAGTCCTACCAGCCAGTGAATGCCGCCAAACTTCTCGCAAACACCGTGCAGTGCTATAGAATTATATCGTAAACTATGCATGTGCTCTGTTTTGCAATCTACGAATTTGGCTCGTTCTTAAGCATGGCGGACCTCCGAAAATAGTAATTGTGTCCGACAAGACTGCTGCATCGTATACGGGAGTGCATAAATGATTGCCAAGCACGCTCATACCCGCTTTGACACGCACTGCACACTTGTTCCGAGGATGCGGTGCTTGCAGCGACCTGGGATGGAGGTCGATCAAAGCACAGCCTGACACCGCTGATGCGCGTTTCATGTGCAGATGACCTGATGGACGAAGAGAAAGTGCTCGACTGGCTAACAAACTTGGAGGCCATGGAGCTGCCGGACCGGATAGAAGAGGTCAACGGAAAGATCCTAGAGAGCCTCATCAAGGAGAGCCAATACCTGGCCGTTCTCTTTTGTGAGTTTTTGCCGCCCTAAGAGAGAAATTTGCAAACACAAGTTCCTCTTATGCCCTTGCGTAAGACGGCTTGAAGATGGAAGCGTATATGTGCGTTGGTAAATATGAACGAAAAGAAACAAATTTCAGAGTTCGTCTATTAAAAACCAAAATCAAATGAATCCAAGTAAGGTATAAGGGAGGTTATTCGTAGTCTCTTTAACTGTTAATAATGACATAAATGGGAGGAGGTGGACGAAAAGAGAACTTATCGCCGACAGGCACCGAACCTGCAGCCTTCGGATAATGACGAGTTCGGTGTTCTGCTATGGCGACGGTGGCCGTCCTCCCGCCGTTTATATCGGGCGCTTATATGCATGCAAACCCAGCGCCTGACAAACAATCTCAGAGAATACCACTGGATTGGAAGCACGGATCGGGATGGTGAATTAGGAAGTTGGGAGGAATCGCATGGAATGGCATGGGCGGGGTGGGAGATTATTGGGCGAGCTCTCCGTCCTGCAGTGCTCGTGAGACAGGCTGACGACGATGACGCTTCGGCGAGGGCCGAAGGCGTGACCTTGTTGGCAGAGATATCCATTGCAAATGAATAGAAAGGTGGGCTAGCTGCTATGGTTCATATTCGTTCAATAAGCACGCCAACACACAAAGACAGAGGAAGTACCACGCAGGGCGTGCGCTCGTTAAACACGTACATGCATGTTATATATATATATATATATATATATATATATATATATATATATATATATATATATATATATATATATATATATATATATATATATATATATATATATATATATATATGACGACAGTACGAGCAGCATGCGAAGCGTTTAGTCGAGGCACTTGTATATGATTTATCTATGTATAAATTATTTATGTTGATAAAATCACAGCTATGTAGTTATAATGATGGATGGCTGATACACTGATCTGCACTCCTGGAAATCTGATACACTTCAGGAACTTCACGTGTAGTTTGAAGAGGATGCCGGAAACGAACACTTGTTTTTTCGAACAGTTGTTGCACGATCCGCGATGCGAAGTTAAATGGAAATACGGTGCACTCATCAAGGAGCTTGCATTTTCTCTGAGGCATACGTTCAAACATCGGCCAGTTTGGCAGATGTACGTGTGGCCACAAGATGAGGTTATGTTACATACCACTCCTGTTATGGACTTTACGAGCTGCTTTGCGTGTTTTTGGGGCCATACCTTGTCTTTATACACTACGGCACACAGCCCAACTCATTGGGTGCAGAAAACAACAACAACAACAACAACAACAACAACAACAACAACAACAACAACGAATTCGTGCAGATGCCAACCACTGTTTGAAAACACAAGTGTTCTTTTGCTCATCCTCTTCGAACTACACGCGAAATTTCTGAAGCGTATCATATCCCAGGAATATAGATCAGAGTATCAGCCGTCCGTCATTATCACTACATAGCTGTGAGTTTATCTAGACAGATGATTCATCGGCAAGTGCCTCATTAGACGCTCCGCATGGCGCTCGTATCCCCATTTTTTTTTTTTACATGCGGTGTCTTTCGAATGTGGAAAGAAACCACCTGTTAACGACCGCTCGCGCTGCGTGGTTCTTCCTCTGTTGTGTGCTGCCACGCTCCTAGTTCGCTGAATGAACATATGTACATTGAGGAGTGTAAAGCAACAAACCGCCTTGATATCGTGTGCAGTACTTCAACCAAGCTTGATCTGTGAGCAAGTCTTTTTTTTTAATGTCACCGTTCGAGTATGTTCGGTGGTATTGACTTGAAGTTATCACCTTCGTTTTGCATGAGAAGCCTACCAATAATAGATGCGCCAGAAAAACCGCAGTGTGGGCCGAAAGGCACAAGCTTAAGAGCGTGAGTTTTTTTTTTTGCGAGAATTATTATCTTACAGAGAATTTATCACATTTATCGATAGTAACTTGGTCCTATAGTGGGCTAATTAACAAAACGTTAAAATGGTTAAAACGGCGAAGCCCAACGCGGGCTACGTAGCAGTTCTAGCGCGGTCAGTATAAGCACGACTACTTGCGTCACAGTCTTTGCTTCTAAAAGTATAGTCATCAATAGTCATAGCGTGCACCGTCCACCAAAGTGACGGTCTCTTTAAATAGGTCGCGCAAGTTCGGGCGAAAAGCGGTTCGGAAGCTACTGCCAACGACATAAGGATGGAGACTTATGGGAGCTGCGATTGTGTGGAGGGAACAAACACTAATAGTGAAACACCAAGTTTGATTCAAAGTCGAAGCAATCGCTATATTTAACAAATGACATTTCTTCTTCCCAACAGTATTACGTAGGTATATTGAGAAAAGAATTTATGAGTGTTTTTATTATTATGGAAATTCTATTTTTAGCACCCTCTGGCCATGCTATTATTACTCGGTGCAGCCCTTGCACTGCATGGAAAGGCACGCTCGTAAGATTCGTCCGCGGATGGAGGCGGAAATGTTGTAGGCCCGTGTGCTCAGATTTGGGTGCACAATAAAGAACCCCAGGTGGTCGAGATTTCCGGAGCCCTCCACTACGGCGGCCCCGCCGCGGTGGTCTAGTGGCTAAGGTACTCGGCTGCTGACCCGCAGGGCGCGGGTTCGTATCCCGGCTGCGGCGGCTGCATTTCCGATGGAGGCGGAGATGTTGTAGGCCCGTGTGCTCAGATTTGGGTGCACGTTAAAGAACCCCAGGTGGTCTAAATTTCCGGAGCCCTGCACTACGGCGTCTCTCATAATCATATAGCGGTTTTGGGACGTTAAACCCCACATATCAATCAATCCACTACGGCGTCTCTCATAATCATATGGTGGTTTTGGGACGTTAAACCCCACATATCATTCAAATGAATCAATCAATCATCTGGTGACCCATGTCTTCTCGATAAGAAACAAGAGCAATTGTTGGTAATACAGTGCTCGCTGGATGTTCATGCGTCAGCGCCCGGTTTCGTTTTTGAGCATGCAGTGCCAACGAGCATACGCGTTATCGGTGAGCAGATCGCCATGTTATCTCTAACGCTACAATTCCCATGTCTGCATTCGCATACGTTGCGGTATTTTAACGAAGCATGATGTAAAACAAAAATAACCCAAGTAGTGTCGGCAGGCTCTTTTGTGCTTATTTCCATTGTGTGCAGTGTAAGATATTTGAGTTATTGCGTTATTATTAGCTGAAAGGTCATTATTTTGGGCGTGACTAGGCTTCGTTTCTTTTTGTTAAAACTGAAGACCACAAGCATTGTGCATGCTAAAGAGTCTGCGTATGTGTGACGCAAATAAGCAACGTGGAAGATGTGACAGGCTGATGTAACAGATGTGACAGATGTAACTGTTGGTTGCTTTCATTTATCTGCAGAAAATGCGACGAACACGGAGTAAAAGTTCGGAGAATAAGTTTTCTTGTAAACCAGAGGCAAAGAGAACGATAGTACATTTAAACACCATTATGTAGTCATCAGTCGGTATTTGACTCGCTCTATAGCCTTGACTTGAAGCGCTCACGTGGAGGACTCGCCGGCGATCGCCTTAGCGCGAGTGCTTAGCGATCAGGGACCTATGAAAAGTAATTTGGGATCACATCTCACGAAAGTTCTCACAAATTGACGTCACCAGTTTACCAGCTATTGCATCACATATCCGCTTTATTTTTTGTTCCGTCGGAAGTGTTCCCTGCTCGCAGGGATGGCGCTAAACCCCATGAGGACCTGATCAGCCGCCAATTTCTGAACGTATGGGCTTCTAAGGAGCCTACCTTGGACAATCGATTTGTAAGCGCTCCGTCGCTTGATTTCTTTGAGAAAAAAAAACAGCAATGACGTCACACACACGACTAAAATTGTAGCCTATTCTTTCTTGTATTCTTGGTTTCTTCAAAAAACTATGAGTGGACAGTTATCGGCAGTACGCATGTCACCTTCTTTCGTGCTGTCTCCACGCTGTCTTTTTTATTTCGTGTTTGGAGCGTTGTACCGATTGGCCCGCCTTTCACCGCTTCTTCAGTGTTCGTGCTATCAGTTAATCAGCGTCTATGTGCGCACGCTGTTTATTCTCAGCTGAGTGTGCCTCTGCGCAGACAAACAGAAGCACAAGGAGTCCGAGGCGGTCCTCACTGAACTCGAGAACATCGACGACGAGGCGGACGCGTTGGGAATCGGCTTCGTCAAGATCTCCGAGACCGAGGTGGCCGAGGAATTCGGCCTAGACCAACTGCCAGCACTGGTCTACTACCGAAAGACCATCCCGCTACTCTACGACGGTGAGCTACACCCCCAGCGTAGAGCGAATTTCAGAACTGAGCCGTTGTGGTACAATGGCATGCCTCGGCTTCGAATCATGTCGCATTAAGAAGCACTTACAGTCAGCTGGCGCCCCTCTTCCTTTTTAATTCAATATGGCATTAAAATACGCCAGTACAAATTTTTTGTTTAACATTCTCAAAGTATGCCACAAACTGTTTTATTAAAACAACGACCGTGTGTTCCTATAGCGAGACTTGCGTCGAGCACAATGAGCGGTTGTTGTGTTAGCTCGAGCTTGCATATTGACTTAGTCGCCCCCATGTTAGCCGACATTCTTGTTGACATTCAGTGAAGGAAAGCGGCTGGTATACTGAACAACTGGTGGTCAGTTAGTGCAACGATATGGATACTAAGACACTAGGAGACACATCCGATGACGGTTACATGGAGTGAAGAAAGGAAGAATTTGCAGGCATAAAACGAAATAATATGGGACAGGACAGGACATATTGGGGCCAGTTGGAAGAGGCCTTCGTCCTTCGGTAGATTAGGTTGATATACTGCAGTTCATTAAACGAGAGTATTTAGTAAACGTTGCGATAAGTGGATGCACGTATTCATCGCAGGTGACTTAAAGAACGAAGAGGACGTGCTCAAATGGCTGCAGCAGTTCATGGACACCGGTGACGACACAGACATCATCGAGGAGGTTTCAGCGGACGACATGAATGCGCTCATCGAGAAGACTGACATACTGGCCGTCTTCGTCTGTGAGTCTCCGACGACACAGCTCATTGAAGGTCCCACCTGAATGTCAGAAACGGTAGCAACGCGGTCGCTTGTTATGAGGCACATTGCATGCCGTCGAACAAGAAATAGCGTTAAACAAGGGGTCTTGCGAATAGACTAAAAAATGTCTCGCCGCAAGGGCGAAGCAATGAGTGCACCAAATTCGAGCTGCGTGTCCCTTCAACTGAGAGGTGGAAACACATACCGGACAAAAGTGTAAGCCTTCTGATGACCCCTATCAACATGGCCTGCGCGCGACCGCTCCCTGGCGGTCAAAGTGCGCAGTTGCTGCGGGCGTCCCCACCCGTTCTGCGGTACTCTTCATGGCTTTGTCGAGCGATGGCACACCGCCGCCGGAACGTTTCCTCTCCCCTCGACCATCGGCAGCACTTGCATTCGAATGACGAGCAGGGCAATGCCATCTGTTTGGAATTACACAAAACTTCACGGCGGCATAAATGCGCCTGGAACGTCCCTTGTAGATACGCCTGCTACAGCGACATTTATTGTTCCAAATCATTTCAGCACTTCAGGCCTTCCCCCGAACTCGTTTGAATCAGTCATATATGAAATGATTTGCACGAAGCTGCGATTCCCTGTTCATTATTTTCATTGTGGCTATGTCGCGGGATAGAATCCCGGCTGCGGCGACTGCATTTCCGATGGAGACAAAAATGCTGTAGGCCCATGTGCTCATATTTGGGTGTACTTTAAAGAACCCCAGGTGGTCGAAATCTCTGGAGCCCTCCACTACGGCGTCTCTCATAATCATATAGTGGTTTTGGGACGTTAAATCACACATATCACTCAATCTTTCATTGGGGCTGCAACATCATCTTCGCACCATTCAGCATAGTGCGCCACCATTACAACTCTTGCTTAGCGCCTAATTTTCTTTACGGAGAGGACTTGTGCAGTAGGGTTAAAACATAATTATGCGCACAGTGTTCACTTACCCTCTTTCCTCTTCTTTCACCTACACCTTTTCAATGATCCATTATTTCTGAGCATGAGTTTCAAAATCCCTTCACCTCTTCCGTTTCCTCAGCAAATGCAAGAGCGTCCCAAGAAAAATGACGTTAAATAGGGCTAGTTACTTATTCATGATCAAAAAATGTAACACCACCAGAAGCGACGGCCCAACACACTAAAAGCGCTGACTTCCAACTGGCTCATTCATGAAACCAGTGCTTGTCATGAGCACTGCAGGGTGAACGTCGTTTATGGCGCTCTGTCACCGGGTGAAGAATTGAACGCAGGCGAGACTGCTGGGTGCCTCAATTCTATATTAGCAGAGCGCTACTTACAATATAGAAAAGTATCAGCAAGGTTAACTATAGCACAGCATTGTTCTCACTGCGTTGCGTTTTGTATGTCGAGTCGAGTGTCCTCTCTAAAATAAATAACGCGTGAAATTAAAGAAGTGGAATTGATTAATAAGCTTGGGGATTGACACTTCTTCGGAATATAGCTACGCTTCATAAAGGTTTTATGCGCATGTTGTCTGCTTGTCGTGATGTGTCAGTGCTATACAAATTCTCTGCCTCTTCAGAAGTCAGCGCTCATTTGTATTTGTGTGTTGGTTAATCGTTTCTCACGCTCGTGTATTCACTTAGAAAAAGATTATTCGTAAATAGCGATATTCAGCTGCCAAACTGCGGTCAGAGCTACTGAAGTGATACACCGCGAGGTGCTCGTAAATTACGCCAATATTTCACCACCGAAGTGTCTCGAAAAACAAGGCGTCCTATATAATCGCACTTGCAGATGACGCGAACGATGCGAAGAGCAAGAAGATCCTGGAAGAGCTGGAGGCGATCGACGACGATGCCGACCAGCACGGCATCCCGTTCGTCAAGACGGACGACGTGGAGTTTGCCAAGAAGTACGGCTGGGACACGCTGCCCGTCCTGATATTCTTCGAGAACGAGGTGCCCACTGTGTTCAAAGGTGAGGCCATATATACCTTGACCCAGGAATTTTACCATGCATACCGTTCCTACAGGCGTTATCTCTCCGTCGCCGCTTACTTCATACGCCGTAAAGTCAGCACTAAGCTTCGGAGCCTTTTCGCGCTTGTCGGCTGCTCACTGTTATCTACGCTTGCGAAGTCGCAAACACACGAAGCGAAATCAGTTGATCATGAACGATAGTCATGAGAGACCAGGAAAGACAGATGGGCTTGGCAAATCAGTGCCAGAGACAATTCACGTCTGACATTTCACGAGTATGGTCCAGTGGGAAGCATGTACAGCGGTGACCACTCTTAGGGTGAACACGCGAGCGCGTGGCCGCGCATCGAAGCGCAGCGACGCATGCGCACACGGACACACGGTAGCTGCTTTTCGTCGTCGGCTACATCGCTGGACCGTGCCATTCCGTAGTTGCAAAGCGCCGGCCTTGCTTGTCTGCAGTACAGCACTGACACGCTGAGCCGTTTTCACCCTAACAGAGCTCACCGCTGCACCATATAGACGTCCCGAAGTGCGCCAGAAAGACGAAAAATGCCAGGAGAGAAAAAAAAAACGCTTCATTCTTGTATCTTTAGAGGCAGGTGAGGGGCCCTTTAAATAGCACATCAAATGGACAAGTGAATCATCTTAAAAAACAGAGAAAAGGATAAGCAATGATAATTAGTTATAGTGCAGATGCGTAAAGAAATTCCGTAGTTTCTTTTCATTTATGCTTTCCAGACTCGACTTGACGAGGGAAAATATAATAATAAGGAGTCTTAGATGCGCTGCCGTAGCACCCCTGCGGACGGAAGCTGCCCACTAATTCTAACGCCAGGCTGCCCAACTAAAAGTGTCGTCTGCTTCGGTGAATCAGCGGCCATGGTGCGCGGCTGCTGACCCGAAGGTCACGGGTTCGATTACGGCATTGCGCTGGAAGTGAAATAGCTGAAACCCGCGTACTGTGCAATGTCAGCGCACACTAAAGTGCACCAGATGGTCAAAATTTTCGAAGCCCTCCACTACGGCGTCTCTCATCACCATACCATGCTCTTGGGACGTAAAACTGCAGATAGCATTATTATGATTAAACTGTCGATTATTGCGCTGTCATGCAAGCGTAAACTCACGCATATTGGGACCTTTTTTGTTCTTAACATCGAAGGGTCTCGAAATGAGGCATGCTCTAGGAGTGAACAGACGCAGTTGACACATCCGGACCAGATCAAACATTTAACTATACCTACACAACGACGATATCGTCAGCCGAATCAAATACATGACTAGTGATCAACACGCTGAACGAATTTATTCAGTACTCCAGTACACTCAATCAAACATATAAGAACAAACACAAGTTAGCGTGGAGGTGGCGTCGCCAACGCTCGACTCACCACGAGGACCCACGGGGATACGACACCCAGTGCCGCCGCTATGCATAGACAAGCGCGGGCAAAAACGTTCGCACACGCCGCCACGCCAAAAGAGGACCGCCCATTTCTCATGTGCCACCACCCAGCCTCCCTGCTGGCGCTACCGCGCTAACCATTGTGATGATAAACGCTCGTGAACACAACGTCATCTACCGCTCGATAACAGTGAACCCTAAATGCGGCCTATGTGCAAAACGCGTGTGCGCCACGAGGCGCAAATGACTTACAGGTGGTGTTAGCAGCCCCATAACACGAAATCGAAAGCCTCGAAGAAATAAGCGACTTGGTTTGGTATCGCCTTCGGATATAATCAATCTTCTAATGAAGAATTATTGCGCAACAAAATGACGCGGGTGAAAGAAGAGGAGACGCACCTAGAGCAAAATGTCAGCTAAATTTATTGTGACGCAGCACCGGTTCATATTTTACATTTGGGTTAGACCCACAAGGACTGTTAGCTGCGCTGTTCGAGAAACTTCGTGATTGTAGTCGTTCAGACTGCGTGCAGGATGCCCTGAATAGTCAAGCTTATTTCAGAGCTTGCGCAACCACCAGTTCAAAGCCTGGGAAGTTCGATATGTGATGTATAAAAGATGGCGCGTGATGATCAATTTCTGTTCGCCGCTATTACCGCTTCTAGTTTGACTCTTCCGTTTGCTGGGCATAGATTCGCCCAAATAAAACTTCATTCTTGTACTGCTTCCGTCCAAGTCACGACGCCTTGAGAATATATTGAAGCAGCATGGAGGGCGCATGCGTGTAGTACAGACAATAAAGACATATCTAAGGTAATGGGCCCCACCAACTTGCCCACCAATGTTGCTTTCAGTAAAAATAATATTCACCGCTTGAACATTCTTCTTAAAGCGCTGCAAGCAGCTTGCAGATAGTGGAGCAAACTGTGATAGCGGACAGCCGAAGACACGCATTGACCAGCCATCAATAATAAGCCTGAGTAGAAACGAGTGTGCCACCTTCCGTGCAGGGGACTTGACCAACGAGGAGAAAGTGCTGAGCTGGCTGGTGGAGCAGAAGATGAAGGACGAGATCGAGGACGTGTCCGAGGACGTATTCGACGAGCTCGTCCAGAAGGCTGACTATCTCGCGGTACTTTTTTGTAGGTTCTAACTCTCAGTCAGTCTAATACCACACCGCGTGTAACGCCCTCGCACGAGTTGGGCAATCTCGCCATTTTTACCTCTCGCCTCACAAAAGTTTGTCCAACAGAAACCAATTTCACCCCAATCATTCGGCCGGCAGAGATACAAACGTAACACAGCTTTACTTCCCCTAAAGCGGGCTCACTGTTATAGTATTTCTGAATCATATGTTAGTGCAAATACAAAATGCACTGTGCAAACCCGCCGCGTGTGTCCTCGCTCAACCACCAGGTAGTTTCTTCTTGCATCATAAGTAATAGGACAGCAACCTGAGTGCTTTAATTCACCTGTTATACATAGCGAGCCTAGCACTATAGAAGGTACTGACATGCTTAAGATATTTTCACACGGAATAATTAGACCTATTCTTTCCAAGTCTTTCGAAAGAACAGTGTAGCGCTTGTCTCTAAGCGCATTCATGAGCCACCTTCATGACGGTAAAAATTTTAGCACTCCACTGCCTAAGGAGAAAAACTGGTTTATATTTGAGCTGTTTTTACGCTTCACCCTGTAAAGACGGATTCGAAGCACATTCGAGAATTATAACGATTCTGGAACAGAGACCCATCTGGTTTGAGGAGTGCAACAAGTGTGGTTGAAATTGGAAAATTTCGTATTCGAACACACCAAGCTAAGACATGGCGGAAAGAACGACATGTATCCGGCGGTACAGTCACTCACGGCGTCTGCAGGAGAGTGCCCTCAATGTTCACTTTGGACGTTCGCTAGGACTTAGGTGGTTTCTCGCAATGGATATCAGAGCTAAGATGAATACTTGCGTGCACAGTTCTGCTAAGTTATTCTGAGGCGCCCGTGGTCAGCACGAAAAAAAATCACAGCATAATGACGAAGTGAATTATGATGAATGGGGTGAAGCGTCCGTCCGTCCGTGTGTTCATCCGTTTGTGCATGCGTCCGTGCGTTCGATCGCGTTCGAGAATGTAGACAGCGCGCAGGTAACAGCGACGAGACGCGAGCCAAGGAAGCCAAGCGCAAGCGTCTTCAGCGCACCTGCCGCTCGGATTCGTCCATGCCCCACCAACGATCCACCACGTGCGGCGACTATCCAGAAGACATAGAGGCACTCGTTATCTGCGCACTCAGGCAAAGCGCGCGCACAAGCCCTTCGGAGGGTAGCGGCAATTCGGAGAGTAGCGGCCGAGTAACGCCATCTAATAAATGAGACGATAAATGGTCATCTATTTCTTTTTCATTTTCTTTCTCGTCTCTTCTTTGCGTGGTTACATGTGACGCGTGGCGTGTCAAGGTTAGACTAAGAGGATATTTGCCCCTAAAAAAAATCTCGCGCAGGTTGTTCCAGTTCAGTGCGAAAAAAAGGTCTGGTAGTCATGGGGACGTGTTAGGCCAGCTCAAAACATTTAAACATACGAGAGAGAGAATTCAGTAGCCACAATTCGCGTACAGAAGCCAGCGGATTCGCAAAGGAACGTCGAAAGGTGTGTGATAGTATGCAAAGGTACTGTGCGGTATCCGAAATCTAAAACTCCCCAATACCACTCCAAACTGCCCCTAGCACGCACCTTGTGAAATGCTTTCGTCACCGGCAACAAAGAAATAACGTAACCGATGACACGTACGCAGCGGAAGTTTTGTACGGTTATTCTGAGACGCGATTGGTTTTCCTAACTGATAGTAAACTAATACAAAAAGGCGCATTTCAAAAGCGCAGTGACAGTGCTTCCGATTGTTGATTTTCTTCTTGAAATGAAAGCGACAATATGAAGCCAATGGAATAAAGAGTGACACGCCGCCCTAAGCTGATTACTAAATAAGCTTTACTGCAGACAATCACAGTTTTCTTTTTCGGTAGGCGTTGTGACGCCATAACGCTAGATACGTCGCAGTAGGGGGTTGCGACTTCTGCTTGTTCAAATGTCTCGTACACTGGCACAGCAATCCTCGCGTCGGCAGGGGGACGCGAAAATAACTTTCGCCCGCCCTCCCGTCTCGAGCTATACACCAGTACTTGCCCTCGCTCAAGCATCACAAACGCTACTCTACTCCAATGGCAGCGATGAAAAGCGGGTTTGCACCCCCTCCCCCCAAGCAAAATCCTTCCGACGCCTAGAGCCCAAGGGAAAGGGTCGCGATCTCCTGCTCCTGTGTGACCGGTGTCATGACGTCACGACGGCTGAGAAATGAAGCCAGTAGTTGGTGTGTGGAAGCCATAACAATTTCTCGAGACTAGGCAGGGCCTTTCCTAAGTTATAGAGGTATAGAAGATCCACATACCGTGGGGAAATTATGAGTTGAAGATACCTCGTCAGTGAATATTTAAAAGGTCGCCTCCGCAAGACTTTTCATGTTAATTCTATAACTTATGTGATTCAGCTTGAAAGATAAGGTTGCTTTTAAGTAAATACCAGGACGTTATGTTTATGTAGGAGTCCCAGTCCTGGTCAGGGGAGCAGCAACTAAACAAAACAGCTCCTGGTGAAGAGAACTTTCTTTAGAACCGAAGCAGCTTAGGGTCGAGCTAAAAACGGTGTGCGGCGTGACCATTCTTGCTGCGCGTGCGTGTCCACTCCCCCTCTCTCCTCTCCGCTCTCCCCTCTCTCGCCTCGCGATGCCTACGCAGGGAGCGTCTGCTAACATACGCTAGCTCTCTACCTCTCTCTCCTCTAGGAATGCCTCCCCGCAACATTTACACCCCCGTTGCACACGCGCGTCCCCTCACTTTATTTTCCTACGCTCTCTACTCTCTCTCTCGGCTCGCAACGCCGACGCAGATAGCGTTTGCCAGCGAGTTTCTTGACTGAAAAACCGATTGTCACGCTGTACAACTGTTCACTGACCACCCCGTATGAAGAGGCACTGAATACAGACCTCCAAGGTACTGCCGGTGCTAGATGTCTCCTGTGCGTTGTTGAACAATGAAAATTTGCAGCGCGCGCTTCAACTAAAAGCTGACTGCGGGTCCCTGAAACCAACCGGAGTCTTCTGTCTCTCATTACCCATTAACAGCGATTGGCATGTTCCAGTAGGAAACACCGGTTCATCGTTGCGTGCTTTGCGCCTCTCCCGATTTCTCGCCTATGCAACGCCGCGATGACCGCCAGCGTCAAAGCCGCCGCCAGTGTAAGCATTAGCGCCCGTTGCTTCGCATCTACACGTGGTTCCCTTTAGCGAGAGATGGTGTAATTTTTTCTATGAGTGGGCTTCAGTCGCAATCTGCTGAATCACATTATTGGGTTGTTCTGCCTTGTCCACATCACGTCACGCACGGCTGTATGCGGCGACGCGAGAGCTGTTCACTTGTTCTGTCCCTGTTCTTCCTCGGTGCGCGTGCGCAGACAAGAAAGGCGACGCGAAGTGCGACAAGGTGCTCAAGGAGCTCGAGAACATCGACGACGAGTTGGACTCGCACGACATACCCTTCGTGAAGATCGACGACGAGGACGTCATCAAGGAGTACGGCATCGACGGCGTGCCGCAGCTCGTGTACTTCGAGGACTCGATACCAAACTTCTATTCAGGTGGGTCTTGCGAACAGCGCTGCTTTGCACGCTATGGAAGCTACAATTTCAACTGCAGTTAGATATTTTTCTTGTATACTGGTCATGTTTGTATTATTCAAGTCATTCTGTTACCTTAAGTCACAGAGGATGTCAATGAGAACTAGCAGACTGCAGTGATTCCAAGGGGTAATGTTATTGAAAGTAATTGTCACGCAAATGCGAAGAAACTAAAGTGTACGACAAGATATTTTTCCGCTGGCAGAGATCGAATATGCGCCCTTCGAGTTCGAAGCTCTCAGGTCCGGTCCCTGCCAGCGGAACGTTATTTTTTCATCGACTTCTGTTTCTTCACCGTTACGTTAATATTACTAGGAATAACATCCCCTCTTGGCATTGCTGCAGTCTGTAATCTCTAAATGAAATCGTGTCTTACAAAGCAAACCAAGGTCTCTAATTTCCACATTTTTTTTTTCACAATGAAATGGGTAACACATAAAGAACCAGCACATATGCCGTGTATATATGAATTCTACAAAATTTGTACATGGTGGTGTCCTAGATAAGTTGTGCACGACTGTGACTACGAATACGTTGCGCCGTCACTGTCAAGTAGTAATCTGAAATAAGTGGTTGGCGGATTATACATTCACAAGCAGCGACAAAACCCTATTTACCATAATTCTGCAATGTTGGAGCTTGAACAATAGAAAATGAGCTACAAACAGGGATCTGTCATTTATTTTACATGAAGTGGCATACTCGGTTTTTTTTTTCTCCCATAAAAACATCATCAGCCTGTTCTATGTCCGTCCTAAGGCCACTATCAAGGTTCTCCTATTTATCCTGTTTTTTTGCGAGCTGCTCCTGTTTTACGCATGCATTAGATTTTTTTATTTCATGACCGCACCTACAGCTCTCTGCGGCTCCTACCAGCATTTGCCGTCTATAGGTGTGATGAAATCCATCGCTCGCACGGGTCATCTGTCATTCGCATTACGTTACCCACTTACGTCCATCTTATTCATAGAGTTTCTCACCGTCCCACCGCGGTGGTCTAGTGGCTAAAGTACTCGGCTGCTGATCCGCAGGTTGCAAGATCTAATCCCGGCTACGGCGGCTGCATTTTCGATGCAGGGGAAAATGCTCTAGGTTTGGGTGCACGTTAGAAAACCCCAGGGGTGAAAATTTGCGAAGCCCTATATATATATATATATATATATATATATATATATATATGTGTGTGTGTGTGTGTGTGTGTGTGTGTGTGTGTGTGCGTGTGTGTGTGTGTGCGTGCGTGCGTGCGTGTGTGTGTGTGTGTGTGTGTGTGTGAGTGTGTGTGTGTGAAAAACGTCGTGGTCGCTTTTATTCAATGCTACAATAGAATTTTTGACCATTTGTGTCTGTTCGCAATTGCCTACTTTGTGCAGGTGACTTGACAAAAGAGGAGCAGGTTCTTGAGTGGCTCGTGAAGCAAAAGGAGACCGACGAGATTGAAGACGTCACTCCCGAGGTGCTGGAAACGCTCATAAAGAAGTCCAATTTCCTGGCTGTGCTCTTCTGTAAGTGCTGCTTTAGTGGTACCAGAATGCCAGGCGTGAACTCTATATGCGCGCGTCTGGAAAGCATGGCTGCACCGCCAAAAGCAGTCGCCATGCACCTCAAATTTATCAGGTGTCCGTCGTGCGCGCTGAAGTTCGCCGGCTTCGAATTGATGCTTTCGTTAAATGCGAAGCATTTCTCAGCGAACTTCGGCGACATTGCCCGTATCTATCCATCTATCTATCCATCTATCTGTCCGTCTATCTGTCCGTCTATCTGTCCGTCCGTCCGTGCGTCTGTCTGTGTCCGTCCGTCCGTCTGTGTCCGTCCGTCCGTCTGTGTCTGTCTGTCTGTCTGTGTGTCCGTCCATCCGTCCGTCCACCCACCCGCCAGCCCGCCCGCGACTTTTAGCCTTCCTGGCCGTTTTGATAATGACATCTATACCAAAATCAATAGGAGATAGCATGACTGTATGACGAGTATAACTAAATAGTCATAACAGGAAAATAATGACATGCATGTCGTAAATGTCACGATTTACATTTCATGATGTTGCTGCTCTTGCGGTGGTTTCGTTCACATGACATTTTGCGAAATTGGTATGGTATGACATAACTGCATGGCGAACATAAGTGACAAACCCTAACGTGGAAATCATAACATACATTTCATGTAAGTTATGACTACACGCCATGCTCATGGTGCGCTCGTGGTAGTTTCGCTAGCTTCACATATACCAAATAGGGTATTGTGGGACGTGAATGGATGACCAAGGTAAATGATGCGTCCATACATGATAATCATGACATGCGTGTCATGTAAAATATGACTACATGCTACGCTCATAGCGTGCTCACGGCCGTTTCGCTAGCTCTACAATACCAATGTTGGTATCACATGACGTGAATAGACGACGATGGTAAATGACACGTCAAAACATAATCGTGGCATGCGTGTCATGCAAGACATGACTACATGCTACACTTATAGCATGCTTGCGGCCATTTCGCTAGCTGCACATGTACCAAATTTGGTATTGCGTGACTTAAATGGACGACGAACACAAATGCCAGGCGCAAACATGATAATAAGGACGTGGAAGTGATGTACGGCATAATTCACGTCCACCTCGTAACATTGTGCTGATTTTGAAGTGAAATATGGACCTTCATCATTCGTGCTTCTCATATCATTGCTCCCACTGTACGTGGGATGTGCCATTTTTTATTTACTGGTACTGCAACCCCTACCAGGTTTTAGTAGGGTGGGACACAGCACATGAACGAAAGTACAACATAATGGCACTCAAAATACAAGCAAAAGTTACAGTTGAAAAGACCAGGTAAATTGAAACCTAGGTTCATTCAATAAAGGAAAATGCGCAAATAGAACAAGAACAAGCAACACAAATAGATATAATACGCACAGACGCTACGTAAATAACCAATCATGTTACAGACATCGAGAAGGAATAAAAATGTTTGCAGAAATCGTACTGAACAATGGAGCTATTGAGGTTATTCCAGTTTGGGACAGTTCACGAAAAAAAAAATATCTGAAACAATCATTATGAGAACGAAATAATGTTAGTGTTAGTGTATGCCTTTGGCGCGTTAAATGACTGGGAGAAAATTAAATTCATTCATTAATATCGACGTCATAGCGACCCCACCCAATGATTTATAAACGTGATGAGCCATTTCTTTTGCGTAAAAGTGTTAGCTTAGCATGCGCTTGTAGCTCCGTGACTGAGCTGTGTCTAAATTCATTATAAATAAAATGTCTGGCTTTCTTCGGAACACTTTCTAGCGTAAGAATATTAGCTTTTGTGTAGAGGTCGCAAATTATCGCAGCATAGTCTAAGACTGATAGACAATGGGCTTGCACGCCAATCTTCTTACAGCTGGGGTAGCCAGAGTTTACCTTGAACAAAGAATAATTTTCTGTAAGCCTTAGATGTAACGTGACGGATATGTTTATTCCATCTGAGACTGTTTGATATCCATAACCCAAGGTATTTGTATTCAGACACCTCAGACGCCGTTAAAGTTATTGAAAAACTCTAAGAGCTTTTTATTTCAAGTTATCTGCATCAAAATAGTCTTATGGAAGTTTCTTCACATCTGCCATCATTTGCATCATGAAGCAACCCGCTCAAAATTGCCGTTTAACAATGCCTGATCCGATTGTTTACGAACCTACGTGTAGAGGATAATTTTAATTTGACGAAGATGTCTTTTACTATGTCGTTTAAGTAAACAAGAAAAAGTGGTCCTAGGACGGAGTCTTGCGGTGCACCTAATTGCATTAGTAGTGGGTTAGATTGATGACGTTTAAAACGAAATGGTGGCGATTGATGAAGTACGCTGGAATACATTTAATAAGTTGAAAACGTCGGAACATACTATGTTTTAATTAATAATTTATTATGTGATAATTCGTCAAAAGCCTTCAAAATTATTATAAAATATTGTATCGATTAGTTGCTATGAGATGCTGTGAATCTTTGAAGAAATCCACGATATGTGTATGCATTTTGTGCGCTAATAATTTGCAGGTGTTTGAGGTTAAATATCAGAATCAGAATAGGAAAGTTTTTTTTTTTTTCAACAAAAATGCTGGTGGTCCATCAGGCGAAAAGATGCATCATACAGCTTGAATGTGCCTGAAGGCCTTCAAATGGCAGCAGTAACATCTAAATTCACCTTCATACATGTTTTAGGTATATATCCAGAAAAAATCCGCAATAATAATGGAATTGAAAAAAAGGAACATATTAAACAACACTTACAAACATGATATTTATAAAAATACAAATCTAATGCATTTAGAAAGAGGAAACGTCTTAATGATTTGCTATACATAAAAACAGTGGAAGCTACAACATGAAGAAAATGACTTGTAAAAACATGGCTGTGATGCACAATGGTATAACACAATGTTTATCAAAACACTGAGGGAGAAAACATTAAAAAGAGAAAACAAATGCGAAAGTGGAAAAACTGTTTTTTATCCCTTCATCCATACTTGCAAAGGGATTCTCGAATTTGTTTGCGCGTTAAAATACTGGGAACAAATCCTTCCCTTTCAATTTATCTAGTATCGAGGGTAGGCTATGCCTCAAAGATTGCATAGCGTAATTTGTGCGCCTGTATGGTACGAACCACATGTCGTGGATACAAGTGCGCGAGTCACTAGTTTTGTATTCAAGCCGTGACGAATATTTTAAAACGAATTTTGTATTGTCGGAGCCGAAACAAGATAAATATAGAAGTCGGTATTCGCAGAGACTTGTCACACGTAATATCTTATGTTTTTAAAAAAAGTGGCGCAGTGCAATAAAAATGAGGTACATTGCAATGAGGTATATTGCAAGTAGTTCCACGTAATAACTCCAATTCATATCTTCTGAAAACGTAACGCTTTATACTTTGTATTTCATCAGAATTAGGATAGGAGCACCATTCAAAAATAGTTATTCACTGAAACAAGGTCGTCTCCTTCTAGCCTTGAATAATATGACCTTTGATTTTGAGCTGTTCATAGTTGGCGCATTAGTACGAGACCATGCCGACAGGTTAGACGTAACACTGCGGAATTTCCGCAACACATCATCAGGTTCATGACCAGAGACAAACAAACTTGTATCGTCAGCGTATAGCACAATGGATGCATCCCTAACAATTTGAGCGATATCATTTACATAGACAATAAATAGTGTCGGTCCCAACACGATGATTGCCCTGTGGTACTCCCGCTTTAACATCACGATATGAGGAGCCTAACTTTTTAATATCAACGCACTCAGTCCGCCCAGAAATGTACGACCAAAACAACAAGTTTGCAACACCACGGATACTATAGTCTTCTAGCGTTCTATAAAAATTTCATGATTTAAGCGATCGAATTCTTTGCTATAGTCTATAAATATACGTAACATCCGTTTACCCGCGTCTTTCTTATTAATTATTAGTTCCTTTTAACATAACAACGCCATCTTTGTCGAGCTGTTTGGGCGGAACCCATGCTGGCAATCAGAAAGAATGTCATTCTTTTAAAAAAATTTGTTAATACGTGCACAGATCACCTTTTCTAAACCTTAAGAAAAACGAGACAGAAAAGAAATCGGCTTGCACTTCCCCCAAGACATTTCGATTGCCACTTTTAAAAATCACTGACACCCTGGATTTCTTCATGGCACTTAAAAAATGACCAGTTTCTTGAACAAGATTAAATGCAAATGCAAGGCGGATTGCGATGACATCAATTACAAATTTTATTGGTTTGATTTGAACGCCATCTGCATCAACAGCATTGCTGTTTTTTAGGCTTAAAAAGTACGACAAATCTCGGTGTCGTCAGTCGGTTCGAGAAAAATGTGTACATCTATTAGATGTCAGTTTATAGTTCTTTACAAGCTGTTTGACACCGCTTTTATACAGTCGTATCACTCGGGCGGTCATTCGGGAGTATACCTTCTTCTAAGGAACGTAAAAACAAAGCGTACAAGTATTTTGGAACCCATTCGGCTAACCATTTTCAGGAGTCTGGGCCTGAAATTTTCTTCTTATCCAGTTTCAAAAGCGTGTGGAATATACCATGCTCGCTTATCAGGAATTGGGGACAAAACATTCTTTAAAACATCATCAAAAGTAAAAACGAAGTGCAAGTGCTCATTAAATGAATTATCATTTTTTGTTCATCGTTCAAGTGAACGCTGTCGACTTCAAATACATCGTAAGGGTGATGTTTCGGCGACACCTCCCTTCAAAATGTCTGTGGAGACGCCGTGATGAATTTAGGCAAAGATTCTTCGTAGTAATGTTGTTTATCGGTAGATGGTTGGATGCGAACTTTGTATTAAATGCAGAGAAATTTCTCGCGTTGATCTCGTGGAGCAATGCCTAATTTTCTTTTTTCATTTTCTTGTCTTACATCTTTATCTGCCTTTTGAATGTAAGCGTCTCATTAGAAACTCAGGAGTTCTTTTTTTTTTTCGTTTCTCAACAATAGTTTGTTCATATTTTTCAATGCACTCATTAACAACATGTTTACAGCTTTCCCACAGCTCGTGCACGTCTACGGCATTTTATGAAAATGAGTCTTCTAAGTTAAATGAAAGCATGTCTTCAATTGAAACATCATCAGACAGGGAGAAGTTGCAGAAGTGGACGGCGTTATAATAGTCTTTTCAAATCAAAATGTGTATTGTTATTAACACAGCCTTGTGTTCCAACATACCGGGAAATACATCACACGTAGATTGACTGCTCATGTTCGCACTTACAAAGAAGATATTCAAATTGTTGCAGAATTACCGTGTATTGTGGCATATCTATCAACTAAATGCGATAAATTAAAACAAAAGGAAATGTATATCACGGCTTCTCCTAAGCTGTCGTTATCACATTTAAGCGACCTCGTTACCCAGTCGATGTTTGCCAAGTTAAACCTGGTCTTACATGCTCGCTCATGTATAGCTTCAAAAGACCCAAATCACTAACACCAAGACTACGTGGCCTGTACAGATCAGCTATAACGTATCTAACATTTTCAAGGTAGGCCTTACAAAAATACTTCCATCGTCCTATAAATCAGGCATTTTTACGACCTTAATGTTGTCCTTCAAAATAATGCCTACACTGCCCCCCCCCTTGCTCTCTGTCTATTCTGAATCCGCTATATCCAAGTGAGATGAACTCGCTATGGTATATTTTCGCCACTGAACCATGTCTCTGTCAAGATAACAATATCTGGATTGTAAGACAAAAGAATTTGCTCTAATTCTGTACGATTGTTCATCACGCTCTTACAATTTACATTGAGAATTTCTAAAAGGTTGCGCCTGGGTTTGTTCTGTCAATTTCGAGCTTCCGATTTCTCTAGCCTATATCGGGATCTTTTTTTGGCCTCCAAACGAATCGAAGTCCCATGGATACTCAACTTATCGTAACCGAGCTTTAGTCTCATATTATTCTGCCTAATTTCCTTAGAAGTCTCCCACAGAAGCCTCCGCGTGTCACGTATTCGCATAGAAAAGTCTCCAGGTAGTGATAATTCACAACTTTTCAGTTAATGTGGTGCTCTTAACAGGGCTCTCTTTTTCGGTAGTCAAGAAATTTTAGAGTCACCGGACGGGTTTTATTTTCGGTTTTCCTTCCGAACCTGTGACACTTCTCAATGCCGATTACGTCAATGTCTATCTAGGTTTTAAAAACTAAAAACATCATGTTTTTTTTTTTAGTTTTCGTTCTACGTCTACTGAAGATTAAGCTCTAGTTTCATGTATAAGCCACAAATTGATAAGTCTTCTTTTGTCTATTCTCTAGGTCATGAACCTTTTCGGTAATTTTAGTGAGTTTTTTTTTTTGAAGGTCATTATTTTTAATTCTCTGCTGTCCACTTTGGAGTTAAGCACATTTAAAGTCACTAATTGCCGCTTGATGTCAGCAGTTGTTTCAGTTAACTTTGATAGTTTTTTTGCATTACATTGTGTGTTACCTGTATGTTACCTGTGTGTTACCTGTTAGTAAAAATTGTACTTTGCCCATTTAAGAGTTCCCGCAAGAGTTATTTCTCAGATGTACCTGGATTTTCTTCAACGTCTTTATGAAGCCGCAGGTCTCCGATTATTGGGTCAATTATACTAGGCAAAAGATACTAGGACAGAGCAGCAGCAAAAACCCATTACCTGACCAACAACCACCAGTTCGCAAATATCGACTAACCTGTAGCATGCAGTAAAATAACTGTTGAGCATGTTGTCGGGTTTGCTGCTGCCTTGACCACAATAAATGATCAAGCCCCTGTAGTGGCTGTAGAAGCTGTCGCGGATTGATAGATCATGGGTTCGACTCCCGTAAACGAAACTTTTTTTGTTGTCATTTGAATGTGTACATTTTTACGTCATTTCCGCGACGGAATTACGTCACTGATATCTTGGTGACCCCCGGCATAAAACACTCTCGGGTGAAGAGCACTGAAGGCGCCGTTTCATTTTTCAGACGACAAGGACGACCCGAAGAGCCGAGAAGTGCTCAAGGAGCTCGAGAACATCGACGACGACGCGGACGCGCACGACCTGCCCTTCATCAAGATCGACGACGACGAGGTGGCGCGCAGTTACGGCATCGACGACGAGCTGCCGCTGCTTGTCTACTTCGAGAAGGAGATACCGAACATCTACGAAGGCGAGCGCGTATTCTTGCATCCGTACATGCAGCACCGCTGTCGTCCCACACTACTGCCAAAGACAGAGCGGGTACTCTTGTTTAGGGCCGGTTCACGCTAACGGCAAGCGCGCCTCACCGTTTGACGCTCTCAGGCAGCCGTTTGCTTCGCGCACGTCTGCCGTTTTCGCCGTGCGAAAAATGGGTGCAAGACCATTTTTATGCCGTTTGCCGGATAGTGGTTTAGCAAATCAGCGACGGAGGAGCGCCATGGCTGAGCTGCGTCGTCTCCTTTCGCTTCTCCGCATTATCTGCGTCTGCCGCGGGACACTTCGAGGTGTTTGCTTCTTGCTCCGCAGTTTTCGCGATATGTCGTGCGCGTTGTTCCCAGAGTACGTTCTAGCAGTGAATGGAGCACTTTCACCTGCCAGGTATTTTAAAAAGTGCGCAGCAAATCAAATGACGTCCCTAACGCAGGCGTTTAGACAAGTGACGCCAGCTATCCAGCGTTAGCAACAACAAACAAACGTGTAATGTATGCTCCCGAGATTTGGGAAGGCTTGCTTAGGCTTAGAACATCAATTATTTGAGTATGGTTCTCAAAGGCGGTGCCGAAACGATTCGAGTGCTGTGTTGTCGAAATTAAAGGACAGGAGCCTAAACCTGACGGAAGCATCAATGCGGAGCTTACGAGCTACAGAGAGCACGGCGGCCGCTTGATAGATTCGAAGCGGTCAACAACTGCTTTCGGAAAGGCAGCCATGTTTGTCGGAGGAGCTTGCCGTGCAATTCGAACAGCCCTTTTGTGGGCGGCGCCGGCCTCCGGCACTGCACCGTGACGGCAGGCTTGCCGCTAGCCTGAACCAGCCCTTTAGAAAGAAGACGCTGGAGGCGTCCTCCCCTTCAAGTTGCCGTATTAACTCACCGTGATGTCGTGCGTTTGACGGCGTCTACTGGGGCGTACGTATAGTCACACATGGTTGCCTCGTTGACAGCGTCTTGACTACTTTCCTTGCAGAGCTCACGTGAGCGTAATTAGAAAATAACGCATCCGTGACCCGACGTAAAGAGTGTAACGAGGTGGTTCCATTCGTGAAACACAGGTGACCTGACGAAGGAGGAGGAGGTGATCGAGTGGCTTCTGCACCAGATGAAGTCGGACGCCATCGAGGAAGTGAGCGACAAGATCCTCGACTCGCTCGTCGAAAAGCACCCGCACGTCGCCGTGCTCTTCTGTGAGCATTTTACGTCTTGGCTAGGCTTGTGACTTCGAATGAACGAGCGAATATTACAGTGTTCGCATTCGCTTCGATTTGTTTCAAATCATTTATAAGTATACTTGAAATGAGCTAATAAGTGTATGCATATTAGTACACATGCAACCCCTGTAAAGCTGCTGCTATTTGCAGTGCCGTGAATGCTACTGTCCAAGCAAAATCCACATTGCCTCAACGCCCCATTTCAATTTAAATTAACATATTGCCCGTTCATCGATTCCTCATTTTGCAACTTTTAAAAGATTGGTATACGGGACTATAAGCTCTAAGTATAGTGAACTTCAGAAAGTACAACGTATTTTACGAGTTATCACCAGCATTTCACCGAAAGTCATATCCTGCAACTATTCAAACTCGCTTCCACATCCTTCCAACCAAAAATCATGGCATTAGCAGATGTCTTGTTTCGGTTTTTTTTCTCTAATATTGGGCACGTAAGCTGAGTCATAAAAATGTGCTCATTTTTCAAATCGTATTTTTTATTTAATAATACCTCACAGGCCCCGGAAGAGGCTTAAGGTGAAGGAGGCGTGCAGTGCAATACAATCTCTTGTATTAGTATCTTGCTGAGCAAACAAAACGAACAAATTAACGAACATTGCAGCTTTCAGAAGAAAAATAACAGCGAGAGTGAAAAAAAAAGAAAATAACAGATAGGTAAATGCAAACAAAAAGCTAAGTTTGCCGACATAACAGAAAATATTGCGCATGAGCAAATAGAAATCACAGTTACAGTACATAATGTGATACAGCCACAACAATTGCGTCATAAAATAGTATGCAATAATAACGAAAGCTTGTGACAACGCCATCCATAAGCAAGCAACCTTGCATAAGCTTATTACAAGTAGAAAACACACACACACACACACACACACACACACATATATATATATATATATATATATATATATATATATATATATATATATATATATATATATATATATATATATATATATATATATATATATATATATATATATATATTAAGAGGTAAAACTACACTGTAAACATTCGGTAATTTTGAGTTGCGAAATGGTGTCTCTCGTTGTGTAATAAAGTATGAAGGCAGCCACGGTTTCTCGACGAGTATAAGATCCTCAACTCGTCCACACGCAATGACTGTTTCAGACCAAGAGAAGGACAAGAGGTCCGAGAAGATCCTGGCCGAGCTGGAGAACATCGACGACGAGGCAGACGAGCACGACATCGTGTTCCTGAAAACAAACGACCCCGAGGCGGCCGAGAAGCACGGAATCGAGAGCTTCCCGAAACTCGTCTTCTACGACAACGAGATCCCCAATTTGTACGACGGTAAGAAAGTTGCGGTCGCACACGCCTGCAAGTCGTTGCGGATGTTCACTGCTTTGCTTCTGGAGAAGCCGCCACTGGGTTAGAGAGGCCCATGCAAGAAACGTCCCATTTGAATGGGCGTATGCAGAACAGCGCTCGCCCATGCAAACCTTCGCACCACTGCCCATGCACGCTAATTCCTTGTGTATGTGCGCACGCGCGACTAACCCAGTGTCAAGACTCTTTATTGAAAGAAGGCACCTGCATCCGGTCAATATTTATAATACTACCCTAATAATTGTTGGATGTAGAGCGAACTGTTCGAATGACGTGTGCCTCGCATGCGGGGAGAAGCCCACAGTAGCACACATGTTTGAGGATAGCCAGTTGGAAAGCGGTAATCCGCAGCCCGCTCCTGGCCAGCCAGCTTTGGGCAGTTCATCAGGCCCGCGAAGTGGCCGACAAGCTGGGCCTGGAACTTTCGTCATGGCAGTAGGGTGCGTCCAGCAGGACTTCATTGAAGTTGAACAAATAAATAAATAAATAAATAAATAAATAAATAAATAACAATTTGGCAGATCCCGTGTACCTTGGAAATCAATGTTATGCAAAGCATGCGTATGGAAGGTGACTGCAGTGTTGTAATCTTTTATTGAGTGAAACGTTGCGAAGTGGCGCTAAAGATATGTACAAATGCACGCAGAGACGCACATTAAACAGCCGAATACGTTTTATGTAATCAGTTATTTACAGTTGCGTAACGATGTCAAAACTAGTGGATATTAGCAACACCAGAAGCATTAAGCTGATATGAAGCGCTGGTGCAAGGATGGCAGCCCTGGACACTGTTATATTATTCAACTTCGGGCGATGGCGTTAACTACAATTGACGTTAACCTGACATGATGGCTGCATCATCATCATTATCATCATCATCATCGTCGTAGTCGTCGTCAGCCTGACTATGCCCACTGCAGGGCAAAGGCCTCTCCCATGATCTGCCAATCAACCCGGTCTTGTGCTTTCTGCTGTCACGTTATACCTGCGAACTTTTTAATATCATTGGCCCACCTAACTTTCTCTCTCGTTCGTGCGTTCGCCTTCTCTGCGAACCCAGTCAGTAACACTTAATTACCAGCTGTTACTCTGCCTACATGCTTCGTGCCCGGCCCGTGTACATTTCTTTTTCTTGATTTCAACTATGATATAATCCATCCTTGTTTGTTCCCTGACCCACACTGCTCTCTTTTTGCCTCGTAAAGTTACACCTATCAATTTGCTTTCCTTCACTCCCTGCATCGTCCTCAATTTGAGCTGAACCCTCTTCGTAAGCCTCCAAATTTCTGCTCTATAGGTAAGTACCGGCAAGATCCAGCTGTTATACTGGGCGTCCCAATTATCACGCACTGGTGTTACGTGAAGCACACCTATATAGTTCCCATTATACTAAAGTAGCCACTACTCATTTTTCGTTAATGACTATTAACTAATTAGTCTATTTGTAACCGAAGAGGTACACGCTTATATATCAAATGCCAATGAGGCAGATGCGCACATGTTGACATCTGTCTGGGCTACTTCGAACATTGTATTAATTGCGCGCTCATTTTTTTTCTGTGAACAAAAAAAGCCCGCGAAATATAAAAAATAACACGTGACTGCGCTCACATCTTCAAAAGAAAGCAACGCCCTCCAATAATCTTACTGGAAGCAACCGCTTACCCTCTTTTTTCCGTTGCCAGAGGCATCCTTCTGCACATTGTAAAGGGTGCCAACTACATGTGTCGCATTTTGCAGGGATTCTTTCCTCTCGATTTTACTACCATGTATATCTCACTGTCAACTGTTCTTGGCTGGATCACTGTTCTGATTAGAGCCTGACTGTAAAATGAAGGCGGCGCGTTTTCTCGGACATTTCCTTCATTGCTACTGGCTGTCTCAAAGGGAGCTTGTTTGAGGGAGCTTCATTCTGAGGCGAGCAGCGGTCTATTCGCGTATTATTTTTCGTATGTCATGGGCTTTCTTTACTGACAGGGGAAAACGAGCTCGAAATTAGTGCGTTGCTGAAAGTAGCAGAGACAGGTGTCGTTTCAATATGCACACATAAGCCTAATTGACATTTTGATAATTAGGCGAGTACTTGTTGAGTTACAAACATGAATATGACTAATTAGGTAGTTGTTAATAATGTAGTGAAGAAGAAAGACGTTGATACCATCAGGTGAGCTATCATCAGCACAAGAAGAAGGCACGAGATCGGCGATCAAGCACCGTCATCTGGGTTCGCCTGCGTTCCTTTCAGAGCTACCACCCGCTTGCTCAGTCCTTCAATAAACCCCCTTTACATTTGGTGGATCGTGCTGGGTAACTGCATCACCTACACCCTGGAACTCCGATCCCGCACGCTGCCGTCGACCATGCAAGTTGACGCTGCCCAACAGACAGCACCTCTCGCGGCTCCTACTTGCCCCGGCCCGGTTCACCAGGGAGACCCCCCGATCTTTTCGGGCGCCGAAGACCAGGACGTCGAGGACTGGCTGTCGTCCTACGAAAAAGTCAGTGGACCAAACAGGTGGGATAACGCTGCTAAGTTGAGCACCGTCAACTTTTACTTGGCTAATGTGGCGAAACTGTGGTATACAAACCACGAATCCGAGTTCGAGAACTGGGCCACTTTCAAGCAGGCAATATCCTCGGTTTTCGGTCGCCCTGCCGTGCGGAAGTTGCGCGCCGAACAACGCCTGCGCTCACGGGCACAAGAACCTGGCGAAACGTTTACCGCCTATATTGAAGATATACTCGATCTCTGCAAGCGCGTCGATGCCGCAATGAGCGAAAGTGCCAAGATCCAGCACATTATGAAAGGTGTTGATGACGACGTCTTTCAAATGCTCCTGGCGAAGTCTCCTTGCACGGTGTCTGAAGTGGTAACTCTGTGCCAGAACTACGACGAATTGCGACGGCAACGAGCTCTCACCCGTCGTCCATTTCAGCCTAACCAACCACTCGCTGCCCTGGACGTCGTACCTGACCACTCCCGCCTTCTAGCACAAATGAAAGATTTTGTGCGTGAGGAGGTCGCACGTCAGCTTTCCCTCCTGCCGTTTTGTCAGCGCCAAGAGCTCCCGCAGCAGCAGCAAGAGCAACGACCGACACCGTTAGCTCCCATGCTCCGACATGCACTTCAGGACCAGATTGCCGAGGCTATGCCAGTGCCCTTTCAGCAGCAAGTTGTCGCCGCGCCCCTTACTTATGCTGACGCAGTAAAGAGGCAGCAGCCACACCAGCCCTCGCCGTTCAACGGACTGCCGCATGTCACCGCTCCTACTCAGTCTTCCGTCGCATGGGCTCCTCCCCTCGCTACCACAGCCTCGACTCAGTCGTATGCCGCGTGGGCGGCGCCCCTTGCTGCAAATGCCTGGCGAACGCGCGATAACCGGCCGATTTGTTTTGCGTGCGGCGGACCTGGCCATATCTCCCGATACTGCCGTCGTCGCGTGCCCGCCTACACAGACGTTCGACCACGAAGCAATTACATGGACCGACCACCTTTTGGCTATGAAAGTTCGGATCGTCAGTCAAACATGTCTTCCCGTGACTATCCGGCAACTTCGTCTCGTCGCTCACCTTCACCCAATCGACGCTCCTTGTCACCCATGCGTCCACGACCAGCCCCTCAAAATGAGGGAAACTAGCCGTCGCAGTTCAAGGGGCAAGAACTGCGCTATCGAAATGTTCAAGTCCTCGCACCTTGCCGTCAAATATCGTCGAAGTTTTTGTGGACGGCGCCCATGCATACGCTCTTGTGGATACCGGTGCCGCTGTGTCTGTTATAGACGCCAAACTTTGCCGCAAGCTCCGAAAGGTGACCACGCCGCTTGATATGTTCTTACGTGCAGCAAATGGAGAACCTGTTCGACCTATAGCCGCCTGCACTGCCCGACTCAAAATTGCGGAGGACCACTACATTGTTGAGTTTATCGTCCTTTCCTCGTGCTCTCATGACATCATACTTGGCTGGGATTTCCTATCCCGTAATCGTGCCGTTATAGATTGTGCCCGTTCCGAACTTGAACTGCTTCCGTTCTTCGAGCAGCCCTACGACCACACTAATCAAGCCGCGCACAAGCTAGTTGTCAAAGAAGACACTGACATTCCACCGACAACAGCTGTTTTGCTCCCTGTGGTCTCCGACGGCATGCGTGATGAAGTAGCATTTTTCGAGCCATCACGCCTCTTTCTAAGTCGGAAACCACTTCTGCTCCCTTATTCAGCCCTCTCAATTTCTAATGGAGCCAGTGCTCTCTGCCTTACCAATCCCTTTCCGCATACCATCAAACTGTTTAAACGCGAGTCTCTTGGATGCGTACAGCCCTTTGATAACGGACAAATTTTTACCGTGCCGCAAGAATCATCCCAAAGTGACCTCGCCGCCCTCAGTGCTCTTAACCACTCTCATCTACAGGCTTCAAAAGTGTTCGATTCGGCGATCGCAGACGGACTGTCACCATCTGAACGATCTGAACTCCTCCAACTGCTGTACCAGTACCGCGAATCTTTCGATGTTGTTCAACCTTCACTTGGCCGCACTTCTACCACTCTACATTACATCGATACCGGCTCCCATGCGCCAATACGACAGCGACCATATCGTGTTTCCGGGACGGAACGCCAAGTTATTACCGAACAGGTGAACGATATGCTGCAACGTGGCGTCATTCAACCTTCCCAAACTCCATGGGCCTCACCTGTAGTGCTCGTTAAAAAAAAGGATGGTTCCGTTCGCTTCTGCGTGGATTACCGGCGCCTAAATAAGATCACTCGAAGAGACGTGTATCCTTTACCCAGGATTGACGATGCCCTTGATACTTTACAAGGTGCCGAGATTTTTCATCATTAGATTTGCGCTCAGGGTATTGGCAGGTCCCCCTTGCCGATGCCGATCGACCAAAAACAGCCTTCGTGACACCGGACGGTCTGTATGAGTTTAATGTCATGTCCTTCGGCCTCTGCAATGCGCCTGCCACCTTCGAGCGTATGATGGACTCGGTTCTTCGGGGTTTGAAATGGCAAATCTGTCTCTGCTATCTCGACGATATAGTCGTCTTTGCGCCAGACTTTAGAACACATCTCGAGCGCCTCAAACACGTTCTCACGTGCCTGAAGAATGCTCAGCTCCAACTCAACCTCAAGAAGTGTCACTTCGCTGCTCGCCAACTTACGATTCTCGGGCACGTCGTATCAAAGGACGGTATACTTCCAGACCCGGCTAAGTTACGTGCTGTCGCCGACTTCCCCAAACCAACGACTATGAAGCAGTTACGGAGCTTCGTGGGGTTATGCTCCTACTTTCGCCGGTTCGTGCGCAACTTCGCCTCTATCATTGCGCCTTTGACCGAACTTATAGGCAGCACCACTGATATTTCGGCATGGTCTTCTGAGTGTGACCAAGCCTTCTGTACCCTTCGTCGTCTCCTCACTTCGCCACCAATACTGCGCCACTACGATCCTACGGCAGCAACTGAGGTCCACACCGACGCCAGTGGTGTCGGCCTCGGTGCGGTTCTCGCGCAACGCAAGCCTGGATTCGCCGAGTATGTCGTCGCCTACGCCAGCAGAACTCTTACCAAGGCTGAATCAAACTACAGCGTCACCGAGAAGGAATGCTTGGCGATCGTTTGGGCGCTTGTCAAGTTCCGCCCATACCTTTATGGCCGTGCTTTTGATGTAGTAACGGACCACCACGCATTATGCTGGTTATCGTCGCTTAAGGACCCATCAGGTCGTCTTGCCCGTTGGGCTCTTCGGCTTCAAGAATATGACATTCGCGTGGTATATCGTTCCGGCCACAAGCATGCCGATGCTGATGCACTGTCACGATCTCCCCTATCCCCGGACATCGCATCTGTTTCCTCGGACAACACGTTGTCAGCGCTTGACGAGGACACCATCTCTTCTGCACAACGCAATGACCCATGGATCGCTTCGCTTCTTGACGCGTTATCCGAGGCACCGACACTTCCAACCACTCGAACCCTGCGCCGCCAGGCTCCGCACTTCAGTATTCGGGATGGCCTTTTGTACCGGCGCAACTATTCAGCAGATGGTAGGAAATGGCTACTAGTCATTCCCCGAACGCTGCGCTCTACCATCTGCGCGTCGTTTCATTCCGACCCGCAATGTGCTCACGCCGGTGTTTTCAAGACCTACGAGCGCTTACGAAAAAGGTATTACTGGCGCGGAATGTTTACCTTCGTCCGCCAGTTCATTCGCGGCTGCCACGAATGTCAGCGGCGGAAAAGCCCGCCACATCCTGCAACAGGTTCATTGCAGCCACTTCCATGCCCAGACCGCCCATTCGACCGTGTAGGAATTGACCTCTACGGACCACTCCCATTAACAACGGCAGGCAACCGATGGGCTATCGTGGCAGTGGATCATCTAACACGGTACGCTGAAACTGCTGCTCTCCTCACAGCTGCAGCACAAGACGTCGCAACTTTCATACTCAATCGTTTTGTGCTTCGTCATGGTCCTCCTCGAGAACTCCTCAGTGACCGAGGGCGTGTTTTCCTCTCCGATGTAATACAAGCACTTCTTCAACAGTGCCATATGGTTCACCGGAAGAGTACAGCCTACCACCCACAGACGAACGGCTTGACTGAGCGGTTTAATCGGACTCTGGGGGACATGCTCGCTACGCATGTCGCTTCTGATCAAACAAACTGGGACCTCGTTCTCCCATTTGTGACATACGCGTATAACACCGCTACGCAAGTCACTACAGGGTTTTCCCCATTTTTTCTCCTGTACGGTCGCGAACCATCACACACCATCGACACTTTACTCCCATACTCGCCAGATCCCTCCGAATACAAGCCTGTCTCGGAAGCCGCTCGTTACGCAGAAGAGTGCCGCAAGCTAGCCAAGCGGCTTACTACATCCGACCAACAGCGCCAGAAGGAGATCCGTGACGACGACCATCGTTCTGCACCAACGTTCGTTCCTGGAGCACTTGTATGGCTTCATGTACCGCCCTGCGCCCCTGGTGTATCACCCAAGCTACTCTCCAATTATCATGGTCCCTACCGCGTGGTCGAGCGTACTTCACCCGTGAACTACGCCATTGAACCCCTCACGCCACCGAGCGACCGTCGTCGGCGTGGACGTGATATCGTTCACGTAAACCGTCTGAAGCCGTACTTTGACCCGCTTGTCCCCACGTGTTAGATCGCCACGATGGCTTCAACTTTTTCGCCGGGGGTAATTGTAGTGAAGAAGAAAGACGTTGATACCATCAGGTGAGCTATCATCAGCACAAGAAGAAGGCACGAGATCGGCGATCAAGCACCGTCATCTGGGTTCGCCTGCGTTCCTTTCAGAGCTACCACCCGCTTGCTCAGTCCTTCAATAAACCCCCTTTACAATAACAAAAAATTGATGCTGTATATCCTATAGCATATTGGGAACGATTTGCACTAGCTTTCTTTCGCGTAACGCCGTTCCTTTTTTTTTTTAAATTGCGCTGCGTGATTATTGGGACGTCCTGTATACTTCCCTATAGGGGGTTAGTGGCAGATTGCCATTCATGATTTGAGAATGCTTGCCGAATATGATCCACCCCATCCTTACTCTTTTTGTTATTTCACTCTCATGGTTCGGCTGCGCGGTTACTACCTGTCCTAAGTAGACAGTCCTTTACAACTTCCAGCGTCTCTCCACCTATGGCAAAGTGCTGTTTTCTGCCGAGACTGCTGCACGTTACTTTAGTTTTGTGAATATCAATTTTCAGACCTACTTTTCTGCTTTCCGTGTCCTGTTCAGTAATCATGAGCTGTGATTCCTGCCCTGAGTTACTCATCAAGGCAATGTCAGCGAATTACAGGTTGCTAAAATACTCTCCATTAACTCTTATCCCTTACTCTTCCCAATCTATAGGGCCCTGTAAACACGCGGTGAATAACATTGGAAAGATTGTGTCTCCCTGCCTTACACCCTCTTTTTATAAGGATCCTATCGTTTTCTCTATGGAGAACTATGGATACGCTGTAAATTTCTTCCAGTATGTTGATGTAGGGTTAATTGCTGCCCTGATTCCGCAGTGTCTGCACTACTGCTGATGTCTCGACTGAGTCAAACGCTTCTCGTAATCCATGAAAGCTATGTTTGGGGGTTGGTTGTATTCCGCGCATTTCTCGATTACCTGATCGATAGAATAGATATGGTCTATTGTGGTGTAGCCTGTATGAAATCCTGCTTTGTCCTTTGGTTGATTGAACCCTAATGTTGCCTTATTAGCAATTATTGTTGTAAATAGTATGTTGTTGCGTTTGCGTACCACTCATCCAGCGCCAAATACTGGCTCCGGACGATAATCTGTTGACGTGCCTTGATGTGCGTTTCTACCCCCTTTGTTCGTGCCTTTATAATCTACTGCGCACCTCAAGGTGGAGTCATTGTTTGTTCACCTTTTTTCGGCAAGAATGCGGCGTCTTCCTCTCCCGGCTTGGAAGAAGCTGATCAGCCAGTAATTTTTCAAGTCCTTGACGTCTACTTTGAGATAATGTAGGCGTTCTCCCAAAATTCTGGTACCCTTGCCGTCAAGACATTTCATTATAAGGTGGCCAGTTTTTCTTTCAGCAGGTCTGTTGTTACCTTATACTCGCCTGTGGCTTTGCATTCCTTCTAGGGCTTTCCTTACTTCGACTGTTGTTACTGGAAGGATGCCGAATTTCTCTGGGCTATTATTGCTCCTTGCGATACCATCCTGGCTGTTTCAACTTCTGTACAGATCTATGTGGGACTACTCCGCCACCTCGACTATCCTATTGATACTGGTTACGACATTGCCTTCCTTGTCCCTTAATGTCTACATCCGATTTTTGCCTATATGCACAAGTTTGCCTTCGTAGCTTTTATAGGCTTCTGCCGCTTTTTACAGCCTGCTCAATTCCCTCCATATTATACCTTTTGATATCGGCTACCTTGCGGCAGGCAGGTAGACTTAATGATTGCTGAGGTTTAACGTCAAAAAAAAAAAAACACGATACGATATTGAGAGACGCGGTAGTTTAAGGCACCTAAAATAAACAATTTATGGTGTTCGCAAAAAGCGTGTCTATGCAATGTCCATCATGTAGTTGGTAAATGGTGTTTGCTGCTGCCGATCAGAGAACCATAGAGCCAATTCGTATATGCCTCGGATGCTGCGAGATCGCTCGTTATGTGAATCGCGCTACACTCAAAGATGTTTATTTTTTTCCTGCATGAAACAAACTCGAGAATCATTAGGCGCGTTTTCTGGAATGAGAATTTTCCTTGCTTGAAGGTCACGATTCAATTTCGCTATCGCTTTCATTCACTATAAATGCATTTTCCAGCAAAAAAAAAAAAGATGGCGTTGCTTTTCATTCACTATGAATTTCGTCAGTGATCTCTTGCAGAGGCATCTTTCGCTTGCGTATATGTCCCATAAACCTTGGCACATGCTGCAAATGACGCACGTTTTATTTTTCAGGCGACCTGATGGATGAAGACAAAGTCCTGGCCTGGTTTATTAAGCAGAAAGAATCGGACGAAATTGAGGAGATCACTGAGAAGATGCTGTTCGAGCTTATCGACGAAAATCCTTTCCTGGTCGTCCTGTTCTGTGAGTTCGCGTGTGCTCTGCTCTTATCAAGAACACGTGAATCGGACGCACATCTAAGACGATCTAACTATACAAGTGCTGTTCGGCACGTGCAATTGCAAAAATGAACACGACGTATAAAAAGTGATTTTTTTAGTGAAGGCAGTGGGAGAAGCCAACTGCCGTATATAGAAGTGCCGTTACAGCTCATTCACTGAACAGCGTTATACTCTCTGTGTCACACAAGCAAAGCACACGTGAAATCGTGCTGTTTTAGAAAAAAAAAATGCTTTAAGAGAGCAGAGTTCGGAATAGAGCAGAGCCGCCAAGTCGCCTTATGCATTTTAGGCACGAAGGGCTGTTCACACTCGGAGATTTTAAATTACAACTTGGAGAGCTATAGCTTCTGAATAAACGTAACCTTGCCCTACAAGTATACAGCGTGCATGACTAGCGATATGAACTATTCGCTTGTTCTATGTTAGCCTCACAGTATCATACTTTCTTCCCTTCGCTGAGTAACTATTACAACTCACGCGTAGTTACCCAAATCAGCCTTTATTTACTTCCGTTAAACACCTCTCTTTGGCCGCATTGAACGTGGTGCCTGTAAGGTAGTCCACGGTGCAGTGCATAATGTTAATAAAACAAATATGTCTCGATTTTATTGAATGTGAATTTGTTTAGACGCTTCAGCTTTCCTTCGTGTGTCACAAGCGGTGAAAAATGGTCAAGGCTGAGCACTCGCTAGAGTCAATTGCAAAAGGGAATTATCTGTGAACAATGAACAAGACAACTACTTTGAACAAGACAACCGTACTGGCCTTGAAACGTGTAATTCAACAAGTTTTTTTCCCCAACTTTTGGTGAGTTTTTCCCCCCGACTTGTGGTGAGCAGAGCCGATTGCGTTCGCGAGTGCCGACGAGGCACTCGCGAACGCAATCGGCTCTGCTAACCCTCGCAACGCTGGCGACGACCGGCTTAGGCCAAATCGCTTCGGTGCATGTTTCGGGCGGCCGAAGGGGCTTCGCTTTCTTGCGTCCTCTCCATCGCGGATTAATGAACCGAAAGAGTGTTCACTCGATGTGCGCTTGAACGTTGCGAGGGGTGGAAAGGATAAGGCGAGAGAGGCGACACGCGGTGAGCAAATGCCACCTAGAAGATTATCTAGGTGGCAATGGGCGAGCACTCGGCAGGTGAAAGAGAGAGTGACGTTACCGCACATTAGAAACTGAGAGAGAAGGCGTGACCTACTTGGAACCGCCCCAACACCAGCGGCGAGGGGAGCGCGGTGCGGCGCGTTGGCACGGAGACAAGGACGGGCAGCGTTACACAGGCTAGTCCAAGAGCTGCTTCGCATCTAATAATGATAACTAACAGACAATGCTGCCAAAGAAAGTATAGAGGAAATGATCGTAACTGTAAGGTAACCGTAAAGAAAGAAAAGTGGAGTGAAAGATAACTTGCCGTGGGCAGTGACCGAACCGTTAACAGGGACCTGACCGGCATCGTACACGGTAAAGAGGGTCGCATGTTCGGTCCTTGCCGACGGCAAGTGATCTCTTCTTCCACTTTTTTCTTCTTCGCAATTACTTCCAATCGTATCCCCTATACTTTCCTTGGCAGCATTGTCTGCTAGGTTTCATTATTATCTACGGACCGAGGCACATTTAGACCAAATGAGCGACCTGGCGTGAACGAAATCTCCGCAGATGACAAAGACCACAAGGGTAGCGCCGAGGTGCTCGCCGAGCTGGAGAACATCGATGACGACCTGGACAAGCACAAGATCCCTTTCGTGAAGATCGACGACGACAGCGTGGCCAAGGACTTCGGTATCCTCGACGAGCTGCCCGCCATCGTGTACTTCGAGGACAAGATACCCAACGTCTACGAAGGTGCGTCTGCACGCTCATTAACACTTCAGTGCACGCGGCCATCTTGACACGTTCTGACTCTTCCTTCGCTTTGCAAGTGCCAACACTGCGGGCCTACCACAAGGTTTGGCCTTGCCAGTTCTACTCAGCTCTGGGCTTTAACCCTAGCCCAACCCAAGAAGAGTTGCTGGTGACCCTGGTCGGTTGCTCAGACCTCCAGGCCCAACCCGTTTCGTTCCGGAGGGTTAAGCTAGCAACTGATACCGATGGTGTCCCGGAGTCCAACCATTGGGCGGCACATGTCTGTTTTATTCTCAACTTAAAAGTTTTTAATCAAGCATTTCAATCCGAGAGAAACTATTTGGTGAACAAATATCGTTGTGTACCAGGTCAGTTCTCTCTGGTTTCCAACCCACTGGAAATAAAATGCTTTTTAAATAACAGAACAGAAAATGGGCGTTCTTAGGGCCCTTCAAGTTTTTTTTGAAGAGGAAGCGCAAGTAGCCGAATCAGACGAGCATGTAGAATATCACGGGGAGTACTGTTCAACCAACAAAAACAGTGAAATAATAATAATAATAATAATAATAATAATAATAATAATAATAATAATAATAATAATAATAATAATAATAATAATAATAATAATAATAATAATAATAATAATAAAAGATACAATTAAGTCTGCACGACCTCTTAAGAAACCGTTGTAAACACTCTTTTAGTGGCGCTAACTGTAATTACAGATAATAAATTTCAGGGTTTTGATGTACACACAGTTATTGTAAGGCTTGCTTTGCAATCTTAAACGAGCAAATTTGTGGTATCTCTTCTGCAAAGCAACGCCACTGCTTGACAGTGCATCGCAAAAAGGCCCCATGTCACGTACAACGTCGGGTGATGGGGTGCGTTAGCTGCTGGGCTAACATCGCGTGGCAAAAGCGTATACAACCGCACAAGGCATGACACAATGTACATTTGGTATCTAAATGCTCCGACCCATCAAAAACTGGCTTCAGCTTTATTTTATCAGCAGCAGCAGCCGCAGCATCATGAACACCTGCCGCTGTGTATATAGCTGCACATATTGCCTTGCATATTGCCTTACTTCGCTCCTTCGTAAAATGATGATGAATCATGGTCCAGTCAGTATTTAGAAACTGTGCTCGCAGTTGGTGACCTAAGAGAGCTTACAGAGGCCTCTAAGAAGGCACCGCTCCTCGCGTTTACATTTTGAACATGCAGCGTGTACCGTACAGGCCTTCAGTATCACTTGCAGGGCGCCTCTCGTAATGCCACCCGTTTACTTCTTTTCACGGAAAACGTTTTGCAGCTAAGTTTTCCCACAAATCGTCTTCAAAGCCTGTGACCAAGTTGTTCGCGGCTTACATGGGTTCATGATGAATGTGGTTTCTAAGCGAAGTAATGTTGTTCTTTACTCGATAACCAATTTATCCGTATTTTCTAAAGTGTGGCATAGCAAAATCGTCCACTTTGACTGTTTGGTTTTTATATGTTATTTCGCTTCTTTTTTCGTGCAACGTTTTTCTGACCCTTCCTTTCTGCTCAGACACTATAAGAAAAAAAAAACACTTTGATCTGTAGCGTCAATTACTTTTCTCAACTGCAAAAAAAAAAAACGCATTCAGCGCGACCGCCATAGCGAGAAAATAATGGCGACGCCACCTGTAAGTTTTTTTCGCACCAGTGACGCCATGCACCCTGACGCCTCGGTCAGTGCTTCCTTAGTAACTATGAATTGTACTTTAATGGACCAGCCGACTGAACTTGGCGAGTTTTAATAACTACCACTTAACCTTTGCAGCCCAAATAAAAATTGTAAAAACTTCATGCTGTGACAACAGGGCTGTGACACTAAGTACCATCACCAGAGCTCCAGTACGAAATTCAGATACTGAAATTTTTACCTTAATATTCTCGCAACTGCAGCAATATCAACGAAGGTACTTTTCAGAAAATGGCGGCGTTCTGTCTCGACAGATCTAGCATATTTATGGAGTCTAATGTGAGTCGATAAGGCGTCAATCCTTACACGCGTGATCACATTTGCGGTGGCGACACAAGCGGATCTTACTGTAGCCTTGTACAGCGTCCCAAGTCGCGCATCCTTCTGGCGTCTCCTTTTGGCGATATTTAAGTGAAGGAGGTTTTCATGGACGACCATCGTTTTGTTGGCAGGTGCTGTCAAATAAAATCGGCACTATCGATTACTTGCAGGTAACCTGAAAGATGAAGAGGAGGTCCTGAAATGGATCCTACACCAAAAGTCAGAGGATACCATTGAGGAAGTCACCGAAGAAATCCTCGAGATGCTGCTACGTCAGAAAGAATACGTTATGGTGTTCTTCGGTGCGTTTCGCCCTACAGCGTTTTGAGATTGCGATAATATACACTGAACTTGCATAAGTACTTGAATATAAAGTGTTCGAGTCATATTTTCATCAAGTGTCAATGCAGTACGCCAGGTACTTCTATTATGACGACGACCATTATTATAAAGCATTTGTTAATGTCCGTCTAAACGTTGTTCTTCTAATGACGCCATTCCTTGCAAGCGACTCGTGCCGAAGGCATATAAGTTTGGACACCGTCGGATCCATGACCAGGATTTGGGGGAATCTCTTGTATGTTACTGCGGTGTCCTGTCGTAACTGAATGGAACGGCGGAATCTCATATCTTACGAAAAAGCTAGTTATCAAAAACGACTCTTAGTTCTATACAGCAGACTTATTTGAAGATTAGGTTAAAATTAGTGTCCATAACGAACTGCGTGGCTTCACAGAGTATTTATGTTTTTACAATGGGGCCCTATGTGCTGCTAATGGGGTGGTGTTCCGTCGACTGGGGAAGCCACAAACTTGGTTGTGCGACGCTGCAGTTTTACCAAAATGTTCCAGTACGTCTTAGCTATATAGAACCCGAAGGACTTTGTGATAACTTGCTTTTTTCAAGAGATATGATTTCTTTTCGCCCATTGCCCATTTAGTTATGACACGACGCCATTGCTTCCGGCGGGACACGGCACCACGTACAGATACTTTCGAATGCTGCTCAGATGTGGCATGCATGAAAGCACCTACGCTTCTAACTCTGAACATGCATGCATTGAGCTTTTTTAAGATTCTGTTTGCGCAAAAGACGCCAACCAAGGGTGGCGACTTGCAGAGCTGTGAATATTTCGTCGTTTCATTTAGTGCCACTCATTTTCAATTTTTATCGCAGCGCCCGACAACTGCAAGGAGTGCCCGAAAATTCTGGCTGAGCTTGAAAAAATTGACGACGAATCCGACGATCACGGCATCATTATCGTGACTACCGATGACACAAAGTTGGCCAAAAAGCAGGCCGGAGTGACCCGCCTTCCAGCCATCGTTTTGTTCAGGAATGGACAGCCTGTTCATTACAAAGGTGGGCTTGGTTTGACCTCGAGCAGGTGTCCCCGAGGAACAGCCGATGTGTAACTGGACAAAAAGGCGATGTTATCAGCTTTCCTAGAATCGATATCGCCTCTTTCGCAGATCAGATGACGAAGCACTCACAGGCATAAATGAATATTTTTTTGACGCTGGTGACCATACATATTCAACCTGTGCGGGAATTTACCTACCCATTGCCGACGGCATGCTTCTACTGCGCCTACTATTTTTTTATCCTACAATTCCTTGCGAAGTTCAAATATCTGTGAGGTCTGCAGCTATATCCATGTAGTAATAGGTACTAAGGGCGCATGTACTGTTTCGTGTGTGTTATAAAGTGGTGCCTTTCCACTTTTTCTAAAGGTACCCCCATGTTTGCGCAATTTGTAAAGCGGGAGCTAAAAAAGTATTATCGGACTACCTTCCGATATCTACTTTACCATTCCCTTCAAAACTTATCAACGGTACCTTACATACCAGAGGTCAGCGCTTTCATAAAGCTCAGCGTGGGTTTCAAAAGGGCAAGTGCATGGAGTGGGCGCTAATAAATGCTAAAGAAAATATGCTCAAGGACGTAGAAAACAGATTCGCACTACATGTCTTTTCAGTGGCATTAAGAAGATTTTTATGCGGTGAACCACGCCATTTTAGTTCATAAGTTGCAGCGTTACGGTAAAAAGAATCCGACAGCAATAGCGAAGGACCAAAGAGCACGTGACACCTTCGAATTCGGAAAGATAACGACACGTTGTCTGGATAGGTGCGTCAACAAACCATCTGTGTATCTTTATGAAAAAGCATGGTTTTCTTAGGTAAATAGGGACCTTGGAAGGGGAGTGTATCATCGTCACGTGGTCATGACATCTACTGCGTACGCACTTTGTTCCAGGTGGCAAGCTTGTGTGTGAGCAAGCTTAACACGAATGCTCCGACGCGTGACCCAGACTACTTTGAAGGATGCCATCCGCGAAGCGCTGGGCACTGATGCAGAGATTACATCTGGGTATGCTTGAATAGCATGTCGGCATGCGAGGGTAACGTCTAGGCAACAGATCGCAAAGTTACGTAACGCCAGCACCAAACAAACAGTTCCAGGACACGCTGCCGAGTGTTCGAGTTAAGGCTTGCCGATGGCTGTACGTCGTTCAGATTAGCCACAAGGCAGTCAAGACGTACATGTACGTCATTGCTGTATGTTTAAAACGCGTGCCTTTTTCTTGGGACGCAATTTGCAAAAAAAAAAAAAAAAAACATTCGAAGGGTTAATAAATTAAATGCTAGTCTGCATTCGTCCTGTCTTCTACACAGGTGTCCGGTTCCCGGCGTGATGTAAGTTATCAAATTAGAGTTATTAGCCCACGTACGCCACGATCTCCTGAAAACAAGCATATAAACTGAGTGCCGCTGTAACTTTTCAAAAAGAGAACTGAAATTCTTGGCTACTTCTTGAGTCTCTGACAATCCAGGTCACTGCAGAAAACTCTTGATCGCAATTACAGCAGTTTTCCACATGCGTACACATGTTGCCTACATCACATCTTGAAGCAAAAATAATCAAACCATTTTCTCATTATTATTTATTGTGAACAAGCCTAAATACCTTCGATCTTACAAACTTTCGTGGATGGTGTCTGTATGCATTGTTGCTGAAGCTCCTCGTGCCAATCGGTTCTTAGCTTCCACGTCTTAGTGCGTTCATTGACCTCGCTAGGGAGCTGATAGAGAGTTGTTTTGCGCAGGGGACCTTATGGACGAAGACGAGATTCTGCGGTGGATGACAAGTGAGGAGACGCTGGACATTCCAGACCAGATAGAGAGCGTCAACCAGAAGATGCTGGAGAAAATGCTGAGCACCAGCGACTATGTGGCGGTCTTCTTCAGTGAGTGTATTTACCGGCATACATCGGTTACGATATCGAAACGACATCATCCTTGATTCCGCACAAATTAGGAGTAATTAAAATGGATTACCAGCTAGGTTCAATGATCTTGACAATAAAAAATAAGTGCTTATGATCGTATACAGAGGAATATGCGGTGCATGGGACACATTTTTTAATTGAACAGGGCGGTAAATAAACGCACAGAGCAGAAATCGGCCATTCTTCGGAAAACTTACACAAGTGGCAAAAATTTTTTGTTCCCCTGTCTACTCTCTCATTCGCCGTGGAGCAGGCGACGACGTTACCTAACCATGTCAAGGGTATACATATGTCAAATTGTTGCTTTTCGCGATGTGCGACTGGTTAATAACAATCCACCCAACTCTACAACACCCAAGATGTACTCTACTAATGTCACTATTTTGACTCGATGCAGCCAAGCCGAAATGTGTGGAGTGTGACAAAGTTCTCGCCGAGCTTGAGAACATTGACGACGAAGCAGAGGCACTGGACATCGACTTCGTCAAGGTCACCGACCCGAAAATAGCCAAGGCTTACGAGATTATTTCCCTGCCTGCCCTGGTGTTCTTTAAGAAGAAGTTTCCTCAGTACTACGATGGTGAGAGACAGTGCTTGTTTGCGCTCACTGCATGCTTACAGCCGCGGGCACGTCTATGCGTAGGCGGCCTTGCTCTGCGCCGGGATCTGACGTCTTGTACCCAGGAACATGCGCGGTCTAGTATAGGCACGCTGACTTGCTTTGCACGGGTGACAAAGTTCAAAGGCGCGCTTCTAAATGATGACGCGAGCTGCTCATTTGTTCACATCCACTTCCAACTGAACATATTTACAGCTCAAAAAAAGGTACCCGTGGTGGCACGTTTCGGACGAAGCCAGGTGAAATCGGACGAAGTCGGTATCACGTAACGAATACTATCGTGCGTTCAGTCTTTTGCTTAAATCCAAGAGTTAAAAGATGTGTATTGCCGCTGAGGGATCAGTGCTACGGCGGCCGAGTATTGATGAATGACTTCAAAGGAAACATCGCAAGAGCACAAGAATAAGCTCGTTTATTGATGTTACCATGCACAAAGGACACTGTTTACGAAAACAGGCGTTGTGTGCTGGAGTCGACGTACTTACAATGTCTTCTTCAAAGTAGAAGTCTAGCGCAAGAGAGATCAGTTCTATAGCCTTGACAATTACACTTGTCCAAACGTCGGCTCCAACACTGGATTGGATTGGATTGGATTGGATTGGGTCATTCGAAACACAGATCACTGTGTCGCACATGGGGAGTGAGATGCTGAAATCATCATAGGCCTGATTTTCCCATCGCAAGCTTCCATCTTTTCTCCTGCCGTTTTTTTTTGGACTCTCTCGGAAAGCGTGGTCGCCTGGTATAGCGTCTCGTTTCGTGCAGGGAACCTCAAGGACGAAGACCAAGTGCTCAAGTGGCTGACCGAAATGAAGGAGAGGTCCGGTGATGAGATCGAGCTCGTGGATCGCAGGATGCTGGAAATGCTTTTACAGGACATGGAAAGCGTCGCCGTCTTTTTCTGTGAGTGCAACTTGAAACTTCGAAGAGCATTCTTGCGTGCGATGCCTATCCTGACAGATTATATGAGCGCTAACGCAATCAATGCCTAAGCAGTAATGAAGTGTGTTGTCAGTTTCGCAAGAATCACTGATTTAAAAAAAACAGTGGCATTTCTTCATAAACGATTCTGAATTGTCAGGAACACAATGTCATATTTGTGCGCGTGAAAATGTCAGTACACGTAAATCTGACAAATATTTTTTTTCTTACACGGGCCTTGCGGAATAAGGCACGCTTCCATAGATATTTCAGGCAAGTTTGCTAAACTGGCCGAGCAAATCTCTGTTTCCTTAACCCTTTCAGCCCTAATTTTTTTATTTTAGTCAGATACGCTTCTTGTGCGCGTTTTTCTCGTAGGTAGGACCTCAGAATACCACAAACAAAAAATTGAGCCACTGGTACAAGTATTTTCGGAATAATTAACGTGGCATCAAATTAGGTAATAAGGGCCCTGGGATTGGAAAATTAAAAAGTGGCTTATTTTTTTCTGCCAATCAATGGTGCACACAAAATGGAAACTAACGTCTTACTTTTCAGCCTAATACTCACTGAAACAGCTTCGGTACGTCGTCCCGAAAATGGCGCTTCCCCGCCTCAACTTACGCGCCTCGGCTTCATGGAAGACCTCGGTCACGCTTCTTCTTCTTTGTGGCTGCTACCTCCACAAACGTGCCGCAATATTGGTGTCAATTGCAGCGGGGATCATTGAAGAACTATGCCCCCAAGAATAAGCAGTATTGGTTACGTTTCTGGGATACTATGGGCGGTGGTGTCAACTGATACAGCCAGGGCCGAAAGGGTTAAATATAGCGTAGCACTTCTGCTAAGTTGATGGGGGAAACTGTGATCAAGATTAATACCTGTGTGAGGATGACGATTATGATGATGATATGGGGGGTTTAACGTCCCAAAACTACCATATGATTATGAGAGACGCCGTAGTGGAGGGCTCCGGAAATTTCGACCACCTGGGGTTCTTTAACGTGCACCCAAATCTGAGCACACGGGCCTACAACATTTCCGACTCCATCGGAAATGCAGCCGCCGCAGCCGGGATTCGAACCCGCGACCTGCGGGTCAGCAGCCGAGTGTCTTAGTCACTAGACCCGGGCCCCGCGGCGGGGCGCCCCTGTGCGAGGATGAACTGGTAATCTACAGGGGTGGACAGCGTAAATGGGTTTGGGAGCAGTCCTGAAAGCAGAGAGGTAGCACCCCGCTCGTCTTGAACAAAGGGGTGGGATGTCAATCGGGCAGCAACTGTGAGCTTTGCTTCTAAAGGTGATGGCGCGCGTGAAAGCTCGGCAGCCATCTGTATATATATATATATATATATATATATATATATATATATATATATATATATATATATATATATATATATATATATATATATATATATATATATATATACCAAAAACGAAAGTGAAAAGTGATGCTGGGTCCGGGTAAGATTATCTGTAGGGAAGAAGACGCACGTACGAAGTGATTTTATTGACGTTTCGGCCGCGGGTCCGGCCTTCATCAGAATACATTTTATGGCAAGAGTGCTGTTTATATACATGTGCATATCAATAAGATACAAATATGAAGACCGGCATGAAAGGCGATATTTGGGCATATATAAATGCAAGTCACACAATTTGAAAGGCACCTGATACACGAGTAAAAAGATATTGTTTCCTTGCGCAAGCACGTGGTGAGCACGTTGTTTACAAATAAAAGATAAAACGCATAAAATATAAAGCACATAACATGAAGAGTAGTCCGACCGGTAATAGCAAGGGGGAAAAAGAAGAAAACATAATAAAATAATAACAAAAACACAAAGACGTTACAAAGCTGCTACATAATCAACCGATACAGACAATGTAGTGCGACTTGTTGAGCAAGGTTGAAAAAAAGATGGACAGGGTGATACAGGTTACGCAGATAGGCAACTAAGTTTTCCTACGTTTTCATTTAGACCAGATGCGACGGCGTCGAACTTATATATGAGGAATGATTCACGGGCTTCTCTATCATAATTTGTGTGGAAATCAGATTCTAGTAATGTGACCTGTAGATTTTCAAAAGAGTGGTCAGGGAGGTGCACGTGTCTTGAAACGGGCAAGTGGGACAAGGTGTTAGCATGAGATTTATGGTTGTTAAAACGCAGTCTAAAAGGCCCTTCTGTTTGACAAATGTACTGTATTTCACATAGCGCACATTCTATCATGTATATCACGTTCTTAGAATCGCAGGCAAGATTGCCTTTGATTTTTAAGGAAAAGTTGGAACCAGTACTGGTGACTTGTTGGCATGTGCGCATGTACGGGCATACTTTGCATCGCGGTTTTTGGCAAGGATGGCACCCGATCGTGTCAGCACTGTCTGCTTTCGACGATGATGACGATGAAAGTATGTCTCGAATAGTTTTAGCTTTGCGATACACTGCTTTAGGTGGTTCGGCAAAAATTGTTTTTAGGCGTTCACTTTGCATAAGAATATTGTGGTGCTTTCTCAGCACATTCGAAACACGCGGAACTGACGCAGAATGGGTAAGGACTAAGTTTGTCTGCGGTGAGGGAATCGAGTTTTTAGCAGCGCACAAACAGCGTTCTACGATTATGCATGTCGGCACGTTTTATTGCGTCATCAATTAATTGCGGCGGATATTTTTGTTTTACTAGAGCATCCTTTATCGTTCTACAATTTTTTCTAAACTCTGATGGCTCTGAGCAGATTCTTTTAAAGCTTAAGGCCTGACTGTAAGGGATGCTAGTTTTGCAATGTTTCACGTGGCTACTGTCAAAGTGCAAATGCTGTTGCCGGTCTGTAGGCTTCCTGTATAGAGCAGTAGATAGCTTATCATTTACAACCGAAATGCTTACATCAAGAAAACTAAGCGCGTATGTGGAATAGGTGTGAGAAAATTATATTGATGGATGGGCATCATTAATGTCAGATATGAAGGAAAGCAACTCCTGTTCACCATGCGGCCAAATAAGGAAAATGTCATCGATGTAACGTTTATAACAAAAAGGTTTCAGCGCGCGGGTTTGCAAAAATTTACTTTCAAACTGGCCCATGAATATATTGGCGTAATATATATACGCGTACCCATTGACGTGCCGCTAACTTGGACATAGTGTTGCCCTTCAAATTGAAAGTTATTTAGCTCTAAAATGAGCCTGAGCAATACTGCTAATGTGTTGCTGTCGATAAATTTACCCGGTGATGCTGCTTCATAGGACCTGGCGACTGCCGCTATTCCGTCTAAATGCGGAATGTTAGTGTAAAAAGACGCTACGTCTAGCGTGACCAAAAAGGAACCTTGAGGAATAATCAGATCAATTATACCAGAAACAAAGTCGGTAGTGTCCCCTACGTAAGACGAAAGTGATGATGGGATACCACTGATCAGAGAATCGACATAGCTGGACAATTTTTCTGTGACAGTACCTCTACCTGAAATAATGGGACGGCCGGGGTTGTTTATCTTGTGTATTTTATAGGCAAAAGGTAAAAACGACCGGGAATGGGACTTAGGGGAATAAGAGAATGAATCGCATTGTCAGGCAGCCTTTTGTTTTGCAGAAGCTCTAGCAAAGTGCTTTGGACAAGAGGTTTAAACTGTTCAGTGGGGTCGTGATCCAGACGCTTGTAAAAACTCTTGTCTGTGAGCTGTCTTTGGGCCTCTGCTTCGTAATCAGACTTGTTCATTACGACAACAGCCCCACCTTTGTCCGCAGGCTTGATGACGATGTCGTTGCGACAGGACAAGGCATTTAGTGCTTTCATTTCACTGGTGGACAGGTTACGGCGAAACGGCGTTTGCTTTCGATACGACTGTAGTACGTCTCGTTGTACAGATTTGACATACATATCTAAGCATCTGTCTCGTTGTGAGGGAGGTGACGTTTCCGCTGGTTTCATCGAATGCCGCTTTGTCTTCGCCAGTCTCCGACGAGTGTCCCGAGTGCGACAAGGTGCTGGATGAACTGGAGAACATCGACGACGACACGGACAAGCACGGCATCTACTTCGTCAAGATCGACGACGAGACGTACGCCAAGGAGCTGGGCGTGACCGAGTTTCCGTCGCTGGTGTACTTCGAACACGGCGCACCCAGCATCTACGTTGGTGCGTGAAAAACGCTCGTTGCCCGCTCTGCCGCACGTGAAACTTATTCTCATTGAAAACTGCCCAGGTGACCTGACCAAGGAGGAGAACGTGCTGGAGTGGCTGGTCAAGCAGAAGAACGAGGACACCATCGAGAACATCAACAGGGACATGCTCAATAAGATGATCGCAGACACCGACTATTTGGCTGTGTTCTTCTGTAAGCAATGCTTGCTTCAATTTTTTTCTCTCTTTGTGCGTGTGCGTGTGTGTGTGTGCGTGTGCGTGTGCGTGTGCGTGTGCGTGTGCGTGTGCGTGTGTGTGTGTGTGTGTGTGTGTGTGTGTGTGTGTGTGTGTGTGTGTGTGTGTGTGTGTGTGTGTGTGTGTGTTGAGTTTTAAGCGTACATGATCAGAGGCCGCGCAATCGATCATCAGTGTACTGTTAGGTGCTTGCTGCTCATGCGTTTCACGAATTTTTGAAATCCACTTGAATCGCAGCGCGTACTGTTTATATACTTCTGGCTGCACGAGCCGATTTCCAAGACATAGGTTTTTTGTCTGTCACGTCCGATGCATCGGGTCTGTGTCGATTCCCGTAAGACTCGCGGACGGCATGCGTTCTTCTCTGGTGGCCTTCCACCTCAAAGGCGTGTTCTGACTGTAAGAAAATATGCGAATGCACTTCTGTTCAAAGATCTGGAAGACGACGACGAGAGCCAGGAGATGCTGCTGCACTTGGAAAACATCGACGACGACTGCAGCGACTACGAGGTGCACCTAGTCAAAATGCAGGACAACTTGATGGCCAAAAAGTACGGCATACGTAACCCGCCAGGACTGGCCTACTTCCGGCACAGCAAACACCTCAAGTTCACCGGTGAGGCACGCTAAGGTTTCATCCTGCATGCCTCTATAGTGATATGGCATCACTTACTCGCCATTCTTTTTTTTAACTCCGTTTATAACTCATGCTGAGCGCAAGCACCCTGATACTTCACTTCGGATTGGTTGTCGCTAGTAAAACTAAGTGCTATAAATCGACAGAAATGTCACACGAGATTGTACTCATGATGTACGCAGATATTGTAAGCAGATTGTACGCAGATATATATTTATTAGACTAGCAAATGAGAAGCAATGCCCGTAAAGTTCAGGTGTTACAACATATTAACGATGTACAACAAATTAGAACGAACAGTAGAAATGGTGGTGAAAATATCGTGCAATGACAAAAACACAGTCTGAAATACTGAAAGCCTTGCGTAGGTATCATTCGTATAATCTCACTCACAAAAGCGACATTTCCTTTTTTTTTGGAAAATAATTGATTGAAGAAATGCAAGAATCTTACTAATTCGGATGTTTCCTGTCAACAACTGCAGTAAAAGTGTATGGTGCACCTGCAAGCCCTGTCGACAAATCACTCTGAAACACACGGGTCGTAAAAGCAAGGTCGGGTTCGTTGTAATTCTGCAACATCCCCAGAATCACAGCCCGTATTATTGCAACGCAATGAATACTCCACATGCATTTATGTCATTGTCGTGATGCTCCTCATAAATGATAATGTCGCTTTATGCGCGAGCAAGAACAGCCGTTGAACAGCTGACGATGGTGGCTCAAGCGGAGATCTCCGTAAAGGCCGGGAAAGGAGGTGATGGGCAGCAGCAACCGCGCCCTCCGACATTGATTAGCTCTTACCTCACAACCCCTGTAGCGGGAACAGCATGAAGATTGCTTCGCCCAATGCAGCGGCCACGTTCATTTACGCCATAGTTTTGTTGGGTTACGCCAGATCAAATGCTAAAATATTACAATTTGTTGCTACCAGATTCACTGCTACCCCCTTGCGGTGAAGCTGTGATTCTCTTGCCCGTTCTTTGAACAGTGCACGTGCGTGTGTTTTTCAATCAACAGGTGATCTTTTCGACGAAGAGGAAGTTCTGGAATGGCTCACTAATCCAGAAAACATGGAAATGGACGACGCCATTGAGAGAGTCAACAAGCGAATGTTCGAAAGGATCCTGGCGAAGTCTGAGTACCTGACCGTGTTCTTCTGTAAGGTGCTTTCCGCAGTATATTGAAACTGATCACAACACAACGTGTCTCTTTCTCTGATTAACTATATCAAACAATACTTCTTATACAAATAACGATAAGCGCTAATATTGAGTTGTGGGAGCAGAGACGTAAACATTCAAGGTTTCATTTATCTGTTGTTAGACTATGCGAATAGTACAGTTCGCAAAATAATAACAAAGAGGTGCAAATTTGATGATGATGATTGTTGGTGTTTTGTAACGCGGAGCTATTCAATGGCCAAAGAGTGCCAAATGATGGGACTAGAGATGCCAGAAATGAGTATGATAAGTGGCTGTATAAGGGCCTTAAAATTCATCGCGCTAAGGCGGATAAAAACACACAAGTATTCAAATCCTGACCGTGACGTGAGTTGTGCAAATTTAATGAGTTCTTTTTTTATTTCAGCAAAGATAAATCTAGCAGTTTGTAAGCATATTAAGAGGGCCCTGAAACTCTTTTCCAGCATTTTAAAAAAAACCGCCGATTGGTAGTCAAGGCTTCTGAGAACGCGCTAGCCTAAAATTGCAGCGCAGCACGCGGGCTGGATCTTACAATTTTCAGTCAGCTAGAAATCGTCCCCCGTTTTTTTGAGAAATGACGCCATATACGCAAATAACCGCGCCATACCCGAATTCACGGCATTGGCTAATATGAGCATCGTGAGCGGTGTATTTACCGACGTCGCCGCGGGAGACCGCCCCATGCTTTCACGCGCGCTCGCGATCCCCCTGAAAGTAGGTCGTTCGTTAGAAGGAAAACAAAAAAAGTCACCGCTTTGCCGCAAAAATGAAGCAATGAGCGCGATAGCAACAAATTGGTATGTCACACGCAGAATGACAAGCAGATCGAAACGTGCCCCGCGTTTCCCACGCACAAATGACGCACGAAACGTACTCACAGGTACAGATGAACGCGAATAAGCGTCTCAGTTGTTACTTCGCTGTGTCTGAAAAGCGCGCCTTTTTCGCAAACGGAGGCTGTGCAATGATTGCAGTGACCTTTGTGCGCCTCGTAACTACAACAGAATCGTTCCAGTGCAAGCCCAACGCCAGCCAAGACGTATGATCGCCCCCACCGGGAGATAAGGGCGCCTGAGAGATCTCCACTCCTCTCCTTTCTGCGGGCCAAAGTACGCGTGAGATTTGAGAGCCGCCGCACGCTCATTGCACCATCTTGCTCATAATGCTGAAAACACAATAGTTCCCACCCTTAATGCCCGCCAACAGCGGTAACTGGTAAATATAAGTAGCTTGCCGTTTAAACTTCGAAGGAGGAGTCTTTTTCTGGATTTTTTCTTGCGTTTTCATATGTATAGACACGTATACATATACGGTGAGTGACGGTGACGGCGACGGCGGCGCCGGCGGCAAAATCCACCCGAGAGTGTCCATATAATTGCTATCGCAGTAGAAGTTCTCAATCAAAGTCATGACACGAGAGTGACGTAACTTCGTTGCCCCGTGCTACAATTCCCTGCTTATTTTCGAGCACTTTCGTCGGGACGAGAGAAGAGAGAGAAAATACGTTTATTCAGTTTGTAAGGAAGAGCATGAGGTGTTCATACATGCAATTGCCAGCTATAGCCCCGTGTCAGGACGGGGAGGTTGAGCCTCTCCGCCCTCTCACGGGCCTTCCAGACAGCCAGTAGATCGAAGTCGTAGCTGGGGTTTTTGATCCAAGGGATGGCTGCCAAATGATTAATTAACTCTCGCTCCTTTGCTAGGCTACCGCTATGTTTGCATTTCGCGTATATCTCGACGGAAGAAATAATCTCAGCCCACGTGGTCCTTGAAAACGCCTTCAAGTAGGAAAACGACGGTAATGATCTCAGACAGAAAAGAGTCCCCATATAGAGCGCGACGAGTGCGTTCTGACACTGTGGCTCTGTGCAAGAACATTCGAATTTGGCGCTTCCGAATCGGTCACCATGATCTGCGAGCTCAACACGACCGGTTCTCCTCCCCCTACTCACACACACACACACACACACACACAAAAACCTCACGACAAAACTTTTTCGTTTTTACACTCGCCACGCGTGATCGCGTATTTGCTTTTAAAAAGATTGCGCGCTCAGAATATTCATCGATTTGTGTCGTTTAGCGTGGTAGTAAAAAAAACGTAATTTGTACGAAGGCCACGAGTGAAAAAAATATTCACAACGTTAAAAAACATCGTTGTGGGCGGCCTCCAGGCTGCCATTTGTGGTTTACAAGCCGCTCTTAGTCTCGCACTGCAGCCAACAGACGCACGTATACTTGGCGTTCCGCCATAGTTTTGACCAGCTGCGCTTCATTGAAAGCCACGCAAAACCACGAACCCGATCACTCGTCCTCAGCAATAGAGTACACGTGACGGCATTTTTACCCGACGTAATAGGAAGGGGGGGGGGGGCACTGCGACTCGACAGTGCAGTCAGCCCCATACATTGGTATACCGTAATTTTGGGAGGGGCGCTGCGAAGAACTTCGTCCTCCCTGAAGGGAAACCCTGCACTTAGCTGAGAATGCGTATTATAAGCGAGAAAATAGGGTACATGTTACAGGTTCAGCCAGAGCACCAACGTAATATTCTAATGACGCCGCACCATCCCCAATTCCTCATTTTTCTACCGCAACTGGCGGTGCTAGTTTATATCGATTGCAATTCAACCATCTTATCTTCGGGTTTCTAATTTAAATAAAATGGATCCATCTACAATCGTGTGAATGCTGTGAGCACGGTACAGTTATGGCAGTGGTTCGGGAAGGGACACGAAGTGAGATAACGGACACCTGTGTACTCGCAGACAGCAAGACGGGCTGCAAGCAGTGCGTGAAGGTTCTCGAGGAGCTGGAGAAGATCGACGACGATGCGGACGCGCACGGCATCAACATGGTGAAGATAGACGACATGGCGCTGGCCAAGAAGTACGGCGTGTTCGCCATCCCGGCCATCCTGTTCTTCCGGGGTGACGACAAGGAGCCTGTCATCTACGCCGGTCGGTGGCTCTCCTCCGGTGACGGTGTGCACGCATACTGTAGCTGCATGCAGAGGAGGAGAAAAGTAAACCGCCGGCCCGTTCTTTCCACGGAGGAGATTTGACTTTAATCCATGGCGGCCCTACCATACCTAATACACCAACTGTTAATATCCAGGGAGTTACAATTTTAGTCCGATAAAAGGAATCATGACCATATGCGAAGCAGCGGGAGCTAACGCTTACACTGGCGGTGACGCTGACGCGGGCGCTCCTCGCGTCAGCGTCACCGCCATCTATCTATCTATCTATCTATCTATCTATCTATCTATCTATCTATCTATCTATCTATCTATCTATCTATCTATCTATCTATCTATCTATCTATCTATCTATCTATCTATCTATCTATCTATCTATCTATCTATCTATCTATCTATCTATCTATCTATCTATCTATCTATCTATCTATCCAAGTTGAGCCCACGACGTGGTGCACGTCAAACAACCCGTTACCCTTGTTACGTGTGGCACAACCCCGCGTAACACAGACCGGCGAATACGGGTATGCGCAACGCGAGATATAAACTTTTACGGCCCGTATCAACCCGGGAACAGTCAAAATAGTCATTGTAAAGCTTATAAGTATGCTCTTTGCGGGAATTAATAAATTCGGGGTTTTACGCCCCAAAACCAGAATATGGTTTCGAGAGACGCCGTATGGTCGAGGGCTCTAACTGGGGTACTTTAACATGCACCTATACCTAAGCACACGGGCCTCGAGCATTTTACTTCCATCTAAATGCGGCCGCCATGACAGATTCCATCCCGCGAATTTCGGGTCAGCAGTCGAGCATCATAACCATTCGACCACCGGGGCTTTGCGCGGGCTGAAGAGAAAGGCACAGGAGCAGACAAACGCAGACAGGCGTGCCACAGCGACAAACCAGGCTTACGAGGGCGTGAATAAATGCGTTGCATCGGCAGTTGTGGTGACAATCATCAATCGTGGTTGCAGTGTTCGCCATCCGCCTTTGTAATAATGAAATAAACATTACATGTGTACTACGGTGACGAACACGACTACGACACCTGCTTACATATGATATGCGCGTAAGCGCACCCAAGCGCGCATTTATTTGCGATAAAACTGGCGTCTGCGCTGTCATGCGAGTTCTAATGGCACATCGTACCAGAAGCTACTGTTTAGCACACACAAAGACCTCAATTAGACACAATGCTTGGCTCGAAACCAAACAATGCGGCATCAGTTCCCGAAATGCGTGGGATCTGCCGGCATTTTACTTTTCTCCCTCTGTTCGCTTCCTCCATATGTCGTGGCCAAACGTGAGGGCTAAACATGGTGCTCAAAAGGAGGTGAAAGGAAGACTTAAAACTATGAGTACCACCAGCGTACCCGCAGCAAAGCATGATGTTAGGCAAATACACGGAGCGGGTATTATACTCTGTTTCACTCATCATGTGCAACGTTGTGGAAGCTATCGAGACTTCTTGCAGTCGATGCGTTCGCAACAAAAAGTAGTTCGATGTTCTTATCACCAAATATTTAATTTTTGTTTGTTATTAGGGCGACAAGTCATTGAAAATATTATGTGCCTTACAAACAAAACGCCGTTGAACGTCTGTTATTATGTGGCCGTATACCTCAGTTTTCGCGTGACGTCACATACAGGCTCTCTACTCTGGTACGTTACGATGGCGGCCACCTGGACTTTAAGTGTCAGTGCAGGATAGGACACCAGAGGGTCATTCGGTACGCGCGTTATTTTGTGCTCACCCCGTTTTTTTCTGTTCGCCGGTCGCGCCGAAGGGGAGCACAAAAAACGCGAGGGTGCACCGGCACTAATCAGATTTACCGCGAGTGACCACGAAACACGCGGAGTTATACGCTTTGCTGGCCAAAGTTCTCACATAGCTTCCACAGCGTTGCACCTGATGTATGAAGCAGAGTATAGTCACCCTTGAGCGACAAGCCCCATATCCTGGTCGAGTCCTACTTGTCTTGCCCTACGAACATGCACGAAATCTAACCAAATCTGTGACTTGCCCTGTTCACTTACAACTTCTGACGCAAGTCCCAGTTTTGCGAGACACATATTTGAAATACCGCAGAGCCTGCATTGCATGATGTGCACCCGAATTGCATTCCTCCCAACAAGGGTTGCGGTCCCTAGTTGCGACACGTTGCAAACGAAGAGGGCATCGCTCGGAAGGTAAGCGATCATGTCATGGTGTCTTTTGTCTTTAAGGTGATTTCAAGAACGGCGAGCATATCCTCGAGTGGATTCTGCTTCAAAAGAACCCCGGAAGTGAGATCATCGAAGAAGTGGACGGCGAAGGCCTAAAAAAACTTATCAAGGCGGCCAAGTACCTGGCCGTTTTATTCTGTGAGTGCTTTACCAGTCCATCATGCTATAGTTAGAAGGGCGTCTGTGTGAAGGACTCTACGTTGGGTGTTCGGGATGATACGAAGAGGTTCGAAGGTTAGTGTTAACAAGACTAAACGCAGTAGCAAAACACATGCACGCAGAGACAGCTTCGATGCGTAAAACGGTAAAACATTTTCAGTGAAAAGCAAAAGAAAATAAATGGAACGAAGGCAGGCCCGATACAGCACTTGTTCGAGAAAATAGAAGGGACGGGGAGGGTCAGCCTATGTCTCATGTGGCGCCTCGACGCCCGCACTGAGCTATATTAAGTACATTCGGCTGCCCCACAAAACCGCCATTGAAGGGGGGAAGAAGTCCGCTTGTTCCACCACGTTATTTTTTATTCTCTCTCAGCGCATTAAATAGTTAAAGACATATGTTACAACCAAAGCGTAACAAATCGAAGGCATCTTTGACACGCTAGACACAAGCGACGCTAACGTAACGTTATTCGTTTTCAAGGGAGCACCACAGATATCTCACCGTATTCGCAGATTCGGAAGGATCCGAATGTGAGGAATGCAAGACCATACTGGAAGAACTGGAGAACATTGACGATGACACCGATCGCCACGGCATCCAGTTTGTCAAGACAACGGACATTGCGATGACCCAGGAGTACGGCGTCAAGGAACTGCCAGCGCTGGTGTATTTCGAGAACCAAATACCAAACGTGTACGAAGGTAGGTCGTCTTTGGTTATAGATCTCCTAGCAAACCCTCGTATTTAGAATGCATCAGAAACGATCTTAACAAGATTCAAATTATTTCCAACGATTTGCACAACCAACCTACATATCGTGTTGAGAGATGGTATCCTTTATATAATATATGACCCCTCTTTAGGTGAATAAAGTATTCGCTAATAAATTCATAAAACGAAAGATCGAAGTTCCTGGAGTTGTCATGGAGCCCCCTCATCAGCATACACGTGCACAGCGAATAATTTTATTGCGTGTGACCTTGAAAAAGTGCCCACTGAGACCGCGGCTGCGAACAGAGACGGAAAGGGCTAGGCGTGGGCATGGCTTCCTTGTCCAATGAGCGGGGGCACCACCCTGTCCCGAAGGCGACGAGACGAGAATCACGCAGTCTTCTTACGATGGCCTGTCTTTGGTCCCCGGCGAAACTTGGCTTCCCCCAACGAAGCCCGCGTTTCGTGACCTTGTTGGCTAATGTGGACGTAATTATAGCTCTTACAAATTATTAATCATAAATCCAGTCTGCATGATCCATCCGACTCTTGGCCGATCCCCCTTAGTGGGTATGTGATGAAGGAACAGCTTCATCATAAAAACGAAATATTTTCCCTCTCTTATTCGTGCATGACCTTTGTGTTGACGATTTGCAGGTGACCTGGGCGCCGAAGAGGAAGTGCTCCAGTGGCTCGTTTTGCAGAAATCGGAAGACACCATCGAAACTGTGAACCGTGACATGATGGACCGGCTCATTGAGGAGACGCAGTATTTGGCCGTCTTTTTCTGTGAGTTGGCCGAGCCCGCCCATACTTTTAACCCTAAAATGTCTTCCATGACGTTTTCTTTGGCGTGTTCCCTCTGATTGCGTGAGAGAGAGAGAGAGAGAGAGAGAGAGAGAGAGTAGTAGTTCGTTTAACGTTTTATAAAGACCCCGTATTTGCATGTTAGGGCATCCCCGTGCGTGGCGTGTGACGGGATCTTGAGAACAAGTCGTGCGGTGAAAGTCATTGCAGTCAACAAACGAATTAGTAACAATGTTTGCCGTCTATTCAAGAGAGTTATTCCTTTTAGACTTTCCTGCTCATGTGCCACAAGCGGCGTGCCGTCGGGTAAATGTCAGTTTGGCACGAAAGGTTGTGGCTGGCATGATGCTTTCGAGACGGACGAGCATTGTAATCTACCGAGTGGTTGCCCATACACCAGTCAACGTCCATCCCCTCTTTGGGCAAAATATACATTATATCAAAACAACCCATTCAATGGTCACCCCTACGTAGGCCACGCGAGTGTTTTGTTGAGTTACTACAGGTCTCACGATAAAAGAATTAGCTGTTAGCCTTACTTCGTATAACCTTCCAGTGTATCGCTGAGTTTTTTTTTTTCGTTTTGCAGACAAGCCCAATTGCAAGGCTTGTGACCAAGCCCTGCACGAACTGGAGAACATTGACGACGACGCCGACCTGTACGGCATTCACATGGTCAAGATCCAGGACCCGTCGTTGGCGAAGCGATACGGCATCAAGACGTTTCCCGCTCTCGTGTACTTCCGTAACGCAAACCCTTTAATATATGACGGTGGGTACCTTTTCCGATTATTATAATCAAACTGAACATGGCAGCAAATTTATGTTTCTCTTACCTTTATACTAGCATTGTCAGTCAAATAAAAAAGCGTATTTTGTGGACCAGGTGACATAAAAAATGAGGAGGCCGTGCTGGATTGGCTCATTGATGACGACAACCGGGAACTGGCTGACGAAATCGAAGCCGTCAATAAGAGGATGCTTGACAAGCTGGTAGAGGACTCGCCATTCCTTGCCGTCCTCTTTTGTAAGTGATGGTTGTACTTGTTGCTGCGCTACAGTTTGTAGATCCTTCAGAAAAAATGGAAGCGCAAGCACAGGGCACATTCACACACCCAGCCACCAAGCAACTTCAGCACTCACTTCCAACTATTCATTCATCGCACGAATATAATGAATATTATATAGCATGTGGCACATGTGCGGATTAACGTCACAGAAGCCAACAGCACATATTGTCAAGGTCTACTTTTTCTTTTCATTCTTTCTTCTCACAGCCTAGAATTGCTGAACTGAATTTCACCAGGAAACAAAGCAAAGGGGCGCTTACACAGCAGTGCTCATCTTTTTTTTCATGAAAAACGTCTCTAGCATTTTACGTGAGCGCTAAACGTGTTTAGTGTGTGCGTGAGTGAATGTATCGTGTGTGCGCGCACTAATTATTATAACGTTATAGCGTAAGAGCTCGTTTCGCAGAAATTTTGGCGTCGGTGTTGGCGTGGGAGTCGTTGGTTGTGAGCGAAAAATCGTCATCCTGTTTGTGACCGGAAAATCCTGCAAGATGCAAAAGAAAATGCATAATTAAAAAATGAGGGTCTGCGTGATCATCGAACCCAGGCCGTCTTCATCGTAAGCTGGTGTTCTATCATAGAGCAGCGAGATTTCGCTTTCTTTCATGCTATTTATTAAATATGCGTTAGAATATGAACAGAAAATGGCACTAATAGAATGAATCCCAAGTGCAATCATACAGCGACAATAAGTGCTCTAGCGTTACCGAGGAAGCTTTTGACGATTAACAAATTGCGGTAGAGCAGCGAGATTTCTTCAAACCGCGTTACACACGAAATGTGGTGAGGCCGACTATCTCACCAAGATGGGGTACCAGTCTGGTTTAAAGTTTACTTCATCATAAATGTCCTTTAGTTGACTAGCCATTCCAATAAATTGCGTGCTCGAATAAATGATGGATTCTGTGTTGCGGTCTTCCACAGGTGTCTTCCATACGCTGCGCGTATTCATCAGGAAAAAAAAAATAGAAGGGCAGTTCATCAAGTAATGTTTGCTAAAGATAATGTACTGTGTCAGAATTAATTAGAAACGTTTTCTTCAAAACCCACTAAAGGACATCTCAGAACAGGATAGCGTATTTGCAACTAGCAAAGCAGTGTTCAATTGTCCCCGGCACATCACATAGGTGGCAGTTAACAGAAAAAAAAAACATGTTTTTTAGGGGCGAAGCTCCTACAGTCGCGGGTCTATCCATGCATGTATTTTGTGACAAGTTCATATATTAGTTGTAAGACTTACTTCGCTGGTGGCGCTAGTTTGAGTGACCGACAAAGATACAGACAGTTATGCAGACAGACGCATGGACAGATGAACGAATGGACCTCATTGCCAATGACTGCATCATGCAGCCCATGCTTTCCAAATACGCCCTCAGATGTATCCATATACAACCTACCACGATCCAGGGACGTGTCTAAACTTAGTGTTTGCAAACTTCCCACTGCAGTCAATACAAGAACCTCCCTCGCTTCTTTTCACAGACCATATGCAAACAAACAAGAACAAAATAAAAGGTAATTTGTATAATATGCGCGCAGTCTCACGTCTTTCTAATGATGTAATGGACTAACTTTTCACGAAACAGTACGGTTTATCGATGATTTCTCCCTCTCGAGCTTCGCTCACTTATATGATGAATAATTCCTTGGATATGGCGTGATTTTTCAACCATGTTTTTTACGGGGAGCGTTTCCGTACGAAGTTCATGGAATGTTTTTGAATTCAGAAACATATATTTTGCCAGCTCGTTTCAGCACATTGTGGCCTGAAATATTGGAGTTCAATTAACGGTTTAAAAGAGGCGGAATAAGCATAGATTGGAAATTCTTATATGGTATTTTTCGCGACATTGCGTAAAAGTATTCTATAGAAAAGCGATCTTTAAGGAACTGAACTTCGGAATAAACCTCTTGCATGAATCCCCACAAACGCGGATGCTCGGAAAAATTTGAAAAACTAACCCAGTCAGGTACAAACAACAAATGTAACCTGCAATAATGAGTGAACTACGGGGTGGAAAGAGTCTCGGAAAAACGAAAAGCAAGAAATTGTTAGCCTTAGACAAAGATGTACTAATCGCAACCCATCTTCACTGAATACGTCGTCACCACGCTCGAAAGCAGAAGACCATATGAAATCTGCGAGAATCCGATGAAATCGTTGTACATGAAATTGTTGAAAATGCTTTAGAAAAAAATGAATGTCATGTAGTGGATGGAGTCTTCTTAACGCATCATATATTGCATCGCAGAAGCGTAGAGTAGCGTCAGGCGTCAAAAGGTGGAAATTGAGCAACGAGTGGGTGGTTTAAAGTCCCACTCATTACAAAGCGCTCAGAGACATTTGATAATCAGCAGCAGCAGAACCTGTGAACAGCTGCGTAGGTTCGCCTATACAGACGCGCAGTGGGTAATTGTGGCGTAGTGGGCACTTGACTCTACGAAAAACTCGGTTCCTGTAAGCTTCTGGTGCATTGTGAACGAGAGTGCAGGCACAGGAAGGCTGCGATAAAAAAAACTTCTTATTAACCAGTGCCTTACTAATTGAAGCAATTATAAGTACGCCACAAGCTATGTTTTAAAGCACTCTTTCTATGGTGAAATCTCAACATATGCAGATGACATTGCATTCGTCGCTGCTGCATGTGATATACATTTTTGCACACTACGTTACAATCATATTTAGGAACACTAAATTTATGGCTTTCACATATTCAAATGACACTAAATGTTAGCAAAAGTTCAGTAACTGTTTTTTCTTTGAATTCTACAGTCAGAATTTGCCTTCAGTATTACCAAGAGGTTATTTTAGAAATTACTGTAATAAATATTTAGGGGTGCTTTATGATGAAAAACTGGCTTGGTGAAACTACATTGAACATAATTATTCTAAGGCAACTTTTGCTATTGCAACAATACGAAAACTTGGTCGACACCCTATTGGCCTACGCAGGAACAGTCTAATTATAATTTCTTGTATGTATGTTCGCCCTATCCTAGAATTTTGTTGTGTTTTATATTCTGGGAGGCCAGCATATAAGATCAATCCCCTCGTCATCTTAAAACCAGAGGCCCTTCGTATTTCTTCTGGTGTTCCAAAATTTACTGCTGACAGTGTGTTATATCAAGAAGCAAGAATGAATCCCCACCCTAGCTTATACATTCTGCGTGCGCATCATTAACGCGTATTTAAAAATTTACGCTTCTTCACTTAGACATTTACAGTTCGGATTCATCTCTAAACCAAGGACATCTTTTTTAATAAGCCCTGGTTTAGGGTACATAGGTCTCATATTTGGTTGAAGAGCAGCTTGAACATTTAAACGTTAGCATACGTAGCATTGTTTCAAATGAGTCATTGGCAAAAATAAAACTTGAATTTGTTGATATACTCCCTTCTAATGCCAAACTTCTACCTAACAGATATCTAAAAAGGTTTACTAGAAGACTATCTACTTCAATTGGAAATTATTAACCTTGCTACTGATGCATCCATGTGCGAAGAGAAAGTGGGGGTAGGCATCTTCTCAGAGACATTGTCTTGGTCATTCTCTGTGCGTCTCCCGGATTACACTCCCGTGTTTGAAGCAGAACTTTTAGCAATTGTTTTGGCCCTTATAAAACCTTTAATAAATTGCTACTGATTCGTTCTCCGTATGTAGATACATATCCTCAGCTTCTTCTTTCAGGTCTTCCGCTTAGAATGCTTTCGATTCTTTAATCCCTAAGCACTTGGGTACAGTGTGGTTGGTGTGGGTGCCAGGTCATCGAGGCATATTTATAATTAAAATAGCTGACGCTCTCGTGCGGTGGTCCCTGGATGGTACTGTAATGTCCATGTTACCTGATAGCCGTTTTGTCACTGAATCCCGATTTTGTAAAAATTCTTTACTTCAAGGTTCTATAAAAAATAGATTACCCGTTCAATTATACGGTCATCTTTCTTTTGCTTGAAATAATAAATGGAGCCTCTATCGCGAATGGGAAGTGTATTTCAAAAAAATTTCGATGTCGGACTCCATCTTTTAATTTTTATTTTCACAGGTCTGGTCAGGTACCATCTCTGCTTTGCTTTTACTGTCAGAAAACATCAGTCATTTTTTACCTATTTGCCGACGTTTCACAATGCCATAAAAAGAAACATTTAGAAACTATATTCAGCAACGTAAGCTTTACTATTAATTCTGAAAATATCACATGTCATGATAATCATGACATGCGAGTCATGTAAAACATGACTACGTGCCACGCTCATGATGCGCTCACGGCCGTTGCGCTAGCTTCACATATACCGAATTTTGTATTACGTGATATGAATGGACGAAGAACACAAATGCCAGGCGGAAACATGATAATCACGACATGGAAGTCGTATACGGCATAATTTACATACCACGCTCATGGTGCGCTTGCAGCCGGGTCGCTAGCTTGATATATACCTCAGTAGGCATCCAGTGACGTCACTGTATTGCAAACATGAATTACAGGTCCCAACATGCGAATAACGACATGCAACGTTAGTGGTGCCGTCGTTACCCGACTATAAACAACATATTTGCATCTTATCTTATCAACATCTCTACTACTCTTTACTGTGTACTACGTCCGTCCGCCTCGTAACATTGTGCAGATTTTAAAGTGACATATCAAATTTCCTCATTCGTGCTTGGCATATCATCGATTCCCACTGTACGTGGGATCTGCCAATTTTTACTAATGAAACTTTAGTTCTTTGGAGTTATCATTTATTAATTGAATTCTATCAATAGCTCCTTACCTACTTCATTCGTGGGTAACCTTATGATTGACCATGCTTATATTCCTTAGATGCCCGAATAACTATTTTTTCTTCATCAAAATTTCAAGTTCCTTTTTCCCATTACATTAAGGGCCAGTTTAATGGTCAATGTTCCGTGGCGGGTACAATCCACAACAAAGGAACAAGCAAGCAAGCAACTGTGCTTGCAATAGGCATGCAATGGTACGCGCACAGCTGTCGGTTTTCTTGCAGCATGCTTGAGGCATGCATAGAGAACGGATGCAGTTCAGAAGATGGTGCGCGCATGGCCCGAATACGCTCAAGTGTCCTCCAATCGTTTTGGAAATGATCGTTCCATGTCATGCCCTCGTGCCTACGTTTGTCCTCACTGCCAAGTCTCATACTGAGGCTCAACTTCATAGCACAACTGTTGTACACATTTACTATCACCGCGCCATTTCGCTTTTCTTTGGAAAGAGATTCACGACGATATGAGGGCTTATTCGTACATTCAACAAACTAAAACATTAGTGCTCACACAACTTTCTCTTCTTTTGCTTCAGATGAAGATGACTGCGAGGACTGCGACAAGGTTCTCAAGGAGCTCGAGAACATTGACGATGAAGCCGACGTGTTCGGCATCGACTTCGTGAAGATAAACGACTTCGAAGCGGCGATGCAGTTCGGTGTGTCTACATTCCCGACGTTGGTCTACTTTCGCAAAAAGACCCCTGTCGTCTACGACGGTAAGCTTGTCAAAACAGAGACGTCCAAGCGGCACGTGCACTAACAGAAGTGATGGGCTTTGCCGTTAATCCTTTCGCATGCAGTGCAATTAAATAAACAACGCGAGAACTCTGCAGGGCCCCTTGGCAAAACTGAGAAGACATGCCTATACTTTGTAAATTTAAGGGCTCGTGCCAGGGAAAGTATAGGGGATGGTATTAAAAGTAATTGTAATGTACATGTGAAGAAAAATTGTGGACATATAACTTGCCACCAGCAGAGACCGAACCTGCAACCTTCGAATGACGCGTCTGATGGCGCCCTATACCAGTGAGCTATGGTGGCGGTCATCCCCACGTCCATTTTATAGGATGTGTGTGTGTGTGCGCGCGTGTGTGTGCGTGCGCGTGTGTGTGTGCGCGTGTGTGTGTGCGTGTGTGTGTTTAAACGTAGGAGCATCAGTCAGCGCCACGTGTTGCCATTACGGCGAGTGTGAAACACTATTTCTTTCGCCTGTTTGGCGTCATTCAGTGTGTGATCTTTGACTTGTATGTTGACGCTCTCGTCCAATTAGATTTTCACAGTTTGCATAGTTACTATGTGCGCATAAGCCTTGCACCGCGACTTCCCGCAAGGAGCGCAGCCCTTTCGCTTACAGGCAGCGAGCTTGAAAGATGAAAGAATATCCGTGCGCGACCCTGGGCGATTCTGGAAGCACATTTTTTTAGGTTTTCGCTTTGAGTTAAGGTTATAGTGTCGCTTCAAAATGGTGGTGACGTTTGGGGCTGACACTGAATGGGTGACCACAAGATTAGCCTGGGATGTACTGGAAGCTTTTGGGTTGGCATTAAGTAGATCAACGCAGTTTAGTTTGTCGGGGCGTTGATAATGACGCCACCGACTATTCCCGGTGGGTATCTATAGGGTGGATAAGCGAACGTTTCAGATCCTGGCAATTCGAAAGGACATCGTCGTGGTTGGACCGTATTCTTTTGAACCTGTGGGCTTTGAACCTGTATGGCATCCCTGTTTTATAATGTTGGACGTGACTGCTATGAAAATGAAGAAGTTGATGCCTATCGATCGGTTTGCCAAATATTTTTGTAGAGAGCCGTCCCTCGCTAGCTGGGATGGTAATGTCAAGATAGTTTATCGTTGTTGATGAGAGAAAGTAATGGTGGGGTGGGAATTGAAGTTCTTAATGAAACTTGAAAGACTTTCCTCGCCATGTGAGTAAATCATGAAATGTCATGAATGAAACGCTTGTAAAAAGATAGTCTGAAAGGTGAATTCTCAATGAAAATAGCTTCCAAAATGTCTATAAATATATTTGCACAGTTAGGACCTACTCTAGTGCCCACAGATGTCCCGTTTGTCTGAACATAGTGCGAGTTGTCGAATTCGAAGTTGTTTAGTTCTGAGATGAGCATCATGACAGTATACCAGGCATTTCACCATAAACTGGCTTGTCAGAACTTCAATACTCGTCAGCTTTTATGAAAGCAAAAGTGCCGTCACTGTCTGGAATGTGTTTCTGTACAAGGACGAGACGTCAAGTGTTACCAGAAGACTACCGTCGGGAACATCTAAAATGTCTTTCAAGAAGTGATTGTTGTCCTCTATAAATGTCAAGAAAGTATACGCGTAATCATGTATCGACATACCTGTATAAGTTTTCAGTAACGGTTCTCATGCCAGAGATGATAGGCCGTCCAGCGTTATTCACTTTATATATCTTGAGCAGCAGATGAAATCTACCTGCCACTGGGCTGAGTGGAACTAGTGTCCGGGCGGTCGCTTTATCGATCTTTTCCTTTTTTTTTTTCTCCAATAGTGCGAGTGCTTCCTGCAATTCGACCTTGTAAAATTGGTAGAAACGGGTCTGCAGAAGTTGCAATCTAAGAGCTTCATTTATATACAGTCACATACATTAGGAGCGCCACCTTTGATTTAAGGGTTATTTGCTAGCTCTTCTAGTGCCTTTTTTTTTGTTGATAGTTATGTCGATGGGGAGCACGAGTTTTGTAAGAATCTATGACATCTCGTTGTACAGCCCTAATACGTAGATCTAAGTACCTATCGCGTTGTGGCGGTGTTCTCCAGTGCTTCTGCTGAGGGAGTACCAGCCCACTTTAATGGTCACTAAAGTTATCGAAGAAATATTCTTTCAGGCACATATTTTGGACAAAGTTGTGAAGGTCCTTATTAAGTTGAAATTCATTGAACCCGTTGTTTGCTGAACAAAAACTGAGGCGTTTCGATAAACAAGCTATCTGCGCATCTGAAAACATTACTGAAAAAGATTTATAACATAGTCTTTCAGTGCTCATTCATTGTTATCGTATATATATATATATATATATATATATATATATATATATATATATATATATATATATATATATATATATATATATATTCTGTGCAAAGAAAGATATGTGTGCCCCAACAGACAGACAGCGCTCCAAGACCACAACCACCGATATGCGCAGGTGACCTGCTCAACGAGGAGAAGGTGCTGGCCTGGCTCACCAGTCACGAGAACATCGAGCTCAAGGACGAAATTGAGGAGGTCAACAGAAAGATGCTCGACAAGCTGCTCGACGAAAACGATTTCGTCGCCGTGTTCTTCTGTAAGTCCACGCTGAATTAGAAGTGTTGTGCAACACCCTAATTCTTGACACGTACCTTGTATATAGTGGCACTCGTGCGCCCTGGTCTATTCTTTATTAGGGGAACTTTGATTTCTTCGCACTGTCGAAGCATATCTCCGAGGCCTTGCAGAAAAAAGCGCGAAGTGGAGATAAGCTCCACCAGGTGTCGCGACAAATACCAGCTGTTTAAGGCCCCTGTATACAGGGGCCTTACAGCTGTTCGAGAGTTACTCTACGTATAGTAACTATAAGCTGTCACAAGGAAACCGTTCGCTCTGTCAATGACTCATTCAAATAGCTTTAATTATTTACCTTAACAGTTAATTCGCCCATATCTGTAATATCATAGGTATAATTATTGCTAACTTGAGCCGGCACCATACAATTCGCAATAGTTATGTTAATGGCACCAGCACGGAGTGCCATCTGCTATCTTCCAGAACATCCTGTCATGTGCCCAGGCGAGTTGTCCGAACCCCTGATATATATATATATATATATATATATATATATATATATATATATATATATATATATATATATATATATATATATATATATATATATATATATATATATATATATATATATATATATATATATAGTGTTTATTAAAGAATTTTATAAATCAAAATTGAATCACTAATTGTTACAGCATGAAGAGCAATTACGTGTGTCTTTGAAACCCGTCAGATCGGGCTCGTTGTGGCACTTGTCGTATGAAATCTCAACGTCCTGCTTCTCCGCTTCTATCAACGTGTTTTTGACGGCTTTGGCAGTGGCGGGTGGCACACTTCCTCCCCCCCCCCTTTTTGCGCCATAGCATACAGAGCACGAAATCACACTCGACCACAGACACTGGTCCAGCCTTCCCTACAGACCAAAGTAATGCCCCCACCCTCGTGCGCGAAAAAATTTTCTTCTTAAGCCGCTGTCATAAGGGTCTAGGCCCCACCTAAATTCTGATGGAGGAGTTGTTTTGTAAGATATACGCAATAAAGGAAGCAGTCTTAATAAAGTATTCAAGGTCTTCAGCATGCGCCCCACCCTTTCAAAAACATTCCTGGCTACGGGTCTGGTCTTCATTGCGGCAATAAGCTTCCTAAACGCCTCGCGCAGTTGGTCGATTAAGCGTGGACAAGACGAGAACGATGCCTTCCTTTTTTTTTATGCAGTTGACAGCAACTGTCCAAAGTGCGACAGCGTGTTAGCCGAGCTGGAGAACATTGATGATGAAGTGGACGACCTCGACGTAACCTTCGTGAAAATTAACGATGTCAAGTACGCCAGGAAGTACGGCATCGCCCAAGTCCCAGCCATCGTTTACTTCCGGAGGAAGTTTCCATCTATCTTCAGGGGTAAGTGGCAACGAAATTATCATGTTGCTCGAGGTAGAATGAGCTGGAACCCCGTTTTGCATGGCACCAGGAATGAAGGCGCAACACATTTAATAGGCCAACTCTGCAACTCCTTGATTATGGCGAATCCAAGTTTTTTTTTGCTCGCTATAGTGAGGACAGCTAACACTCACTGAACGATTGTGAAACTTCATTTAAAAAAAAATCAACTTAATCGACAACCATTTCGAATGAAAGCGAGTGGCATAACTAACTATATATTCGTAAAGCTAAGCTATACGCTTGACAGGGGCACTTGACATATCTAGTGAAGATCAATAAATCAACTCGTATTACTCACTGATTATTATTATTATTATTATTATTATTATTATTATTATTATTATTATTATTATTATTATTATTATTATTATTATTATTATTATTATTATTATTATTATTATTATTATTATTATTATTGAAAAGACAAACACACAGAGGAAATAGAGGGGAAAACAGGCTTACATTTCCCACCATAGACTATTTTACCTGAAACGTACGGGAGCCACCATTTTGGGGGTTTTATCGTTTCTGTATATTTCGGCTTGAATTAACAAGGCCATGAAACATCGCATGCACCAACCCAACCGTTTTTGTTTTTTGCGTATGCATCTACCGTAACGCTGTTCATTCTGTCAATAAAGATGTAAAGGTCAAGGCCTATATTATCGGGGCACAGAACCCCGTCCGTAAAATAGTCTATATCGATTCCGGCCTGCTCCTTCAGGGAAAATAGACACAGACGAAAGGGAGGCAGTAAGGAATATAAGGCAACGCGAGAAAAAAATCCGCAGGACTGCGACTTCACAAAGCTGCAGCCCCCTACAAAGCCTAGCAGCAAAAATGAGCCAAGTAAAAGCAACGACTGTGCTAGAAATTGAACACACTTGAATGCCCTATTACATGAAGCGACACTACATGAAGTGGCAAAACATAGCGGGAACTAGAAAAAAAAAACATGAAAGGGTCTGCGTTCTTATGTATAATTATGCATAGCGATACACATCGATGCGACTAATAAAGAAAAAGAAGAGGTGTGGGGAAGAAAAACACGTCGCAATTGAAAGTGATGTAACATGTAGAACATACCGAGTTGATAAATAAGTCAACAAAAACTACGAAATCAAAGAAAATACAACAAAACAAAATGCACTTCAATTGTAGACAAATGATATTGTCACGGGGTGAGAGTAGGCAGAAGGTAGAAATACATTTACAGATTGTACATGGAGTACACAGTGTCCTCGAGTCAAGATGGCGGAGCGGCAACAACAACACGAGCTTTTGTTCAGTCGTCATCTTCGTCGCCTTTATGGTCTATTGCTTGATGTTAATCATGGCTTGTATCATATAGCCACCGCCGGTGAAAGCGCCTTCTCGGCGCTTAAGAAAGCGTGCGATCCTGAGCAGAGAAGTACGGCTTAAGGCGGGAGACGTGTACAATATCAGTGGAAGGCAGAGACGATGAGAATGGAGTGTCCAAGGGGGCGTTCTCATAGGTGACCTCGGTCAGTTGGCGCAAAACTTTGTAAGGCCCGTTGTAGCGAGCGAGGAACTTCGAGGACAGACCAACGTGACGGGAGGGAGTCCAGAGCCAGACCAACGATCCTGAGGAGTAAGAGACAGCTCTGTGACGGCTGTCGCAGCAATCCTTTTGAGAGAGCTGCGAGGCAGAAAGACGATCCCGGGCAATCTGGCGGGCCGCTCGAGCCCGAGTAGTTGCATCGCCAGTGCACTCTGTAGGAGTGTTAGTATGCAACGGCAGTAGAGTGTCCAAAGGCAAAGTGGGGTGACGGCCGTACAAAAGATAGAAGGGAGAAAAGCCAGCGGTGTCGTGGCGTGACGAGTTGTAGGCAAATGTCATGTAAGGCAAAGTGGCATCCAAATCACGATGATCTGCGGAAACATACAAGGATATCATTGTCGTCCTTGTGCGGTTGAGGCACCCAGTAAGTCCATTTGTTTGCGGATGGTAGGCAGTGGTGAATTTATGACGTGTAAAACACGAGCAAAAAATGTCGTCCACGACTTTGGATGGAAACAAACGACCATGGTCGGTCAGCAGTTGACGCGGCGCTCCATGGTGGAGAGTAACGTCGTGAAGGAGAAAGTCTGCGACGTCAGTAGCACAGCTTGTTGGTAGCACTCGCGTGATGGCAAACCATGTCGCGTGGTTTGTAGCCCCCACTACCCACTTATTCCCACTCATAGACGTTGGAAATGGTCCAATGAGATCGAGGCCGACGCAGCAGAATGGGTCTGTTGAAATGTGGGCCAGGTAGTGCCAAGGAAGGATGCTTTCGGCGTTGGCAGGACTCACAAGATGCAACGTATCGGCGCACATAGCGGTAAAGGCCGGGCCAGAAGAATCAACGCCGTACGCTGTGATACGTTCGGGCTGCTCCAAGATGTCCAGCGGTTGGGGAATCATGAAGTTGTTCGAGCACAGTGGAACGGAGCGTTGCAGCAACTACCAGAAGTTTTGGGCGTTCGGTGCTTGTGTTGCGTCGATAGAGAATTCTGTCATGAAGCGTGGACAGGCGAAGGGAAGGATCCGAGGTGTCTGAAGCTAGACAGCGTATGATAGACCGCAAATTGGCATCACTGAGCTGTTCAATACGTATGTCCGTGTAATCAGATATGGCGAAGACACAGGCATCAGAATCGTGCGCTGACAGGTCAGGCGGATCGACGGGATGGCGACATAGACAGTCGGCTACCTGGCGCATTCGGCCAGACCTAGGCCACGTCAAAGCTATATTCCTGGAGCTTTAAAGCCCAACGACCCAGATGTCCAGAAGGATCTTTGAGGGAGGAAAACCAGCACAGGGCGTGGTGATCCGTGATGACAGAAAAGTGGCGGCCCAACAAGTGCGTTAGGAATTTTCCAACTGCCCATACAAGGGCGAGGCATTCGCGCTCAGTGATGGGAAACTTGCACTCGGATGGAGAGAGGAGGCAACTTTGCGTAGGCGATTACATGATTTTGGCCTTGTTGCCACTGGGCGAGGACAGCGCCAATACCGTGTCCGCTGGCGTCGGTGCGGACTTCACAATGGCTCTGAAGGATCGAAATGACCCAAGAAGGGTGGAGAAGTGAGCAACGCAGTAAGTCGGCGAAACGAATTGGCTTGCTGGGGACCCCAAGAAAACAGCGTATCCTTCCTGTGTCAAGGGATGGGCAATGTCGGCGAAGTTGTGTACGAAACGCCAGCAATAAGAACAGAGGCCGACAAATCCCCGTACACCTTTCGTGGAACGTGGTGTGGGAAAATCTTTGACGGCGCCAATTCTGTCGGGATCGGGTTGCACGCCTTAAGAGCTGACAAGATGGCCTAGCACAGTGATCGTTCGGCGGCCGAAACGGCATTTGGATGTGTTGAGCTGAAGGCCTGCCCTTATAAAAACTTCCAGAGCAGCTGACAGACGGCTAAGGTGACTTTCGAATGACGGCCAGAATACAATGACGTCATCGAGATAACAGAGGCACGTTAACCATTTGTAACCCCATAGCAGCGAGTCCATCTTCTCTCAAATCTAGCGGGGGCATTGCATAAGCCAAAGGCATTACTTTAAACTGGAAAAGTTCATCCGGTGTAACAAGTGCAGTCTTTTCACGGTCTAATCTGTCGACGGAAATCTGCCAGCATCCTGAACGCAGGTCGACAGAGGGGAAGTAGGCAGACCCTGGCAGGTAGTTGAGGGCATCGTCAATCCGTGGCAGTGGGTAGACGTCCTTACGCGTGACCTTGTTTAAGTGACGGTAGTCGACGCAGAAGCGCCAGCGGCCATCCTTCTTTTTTACTGGAACGACTGGTGAGGCCCATGGACTGCAAGATGGTTCGATGACGTGTTTTGTGAAAATTTTATCAACTTCACGCTGAATGACTTGCCGCTCTGCATGTGACACGCGATAAGGACGTCGTCGAATGGGCTGGCGTCTCCAGTGTTGATCCTGTGAGTAACAAGTGACGTCTGACCAAAAGGGCGGTCACCAAAGTCGAAGATGTCCCTGAAGGATGCCAAGATACGCCGGATATCGGCTGCCTGTGCTGGAACGAGGTCTGGCGCGATCAACTTTTCAAAGTCGGCATCAGTGGAGCTCTGTGAAGGGGATGCAGTAGCAGGCAAAGGAGCATCTGCAATGAATGCAGAAACAGAATGTTCACTGATGGAAGAAACATTGGCTAGAGTCATGCCATCTGGAACAACTTCAGCGCACCAGCTGAAGTTCAGTATCGGTAGCGACGCCACATTATTCGTAATCGTCAACAAAGTATGAGGAAGGGCAACATTGCTGTCCAATAAGCACGGCACTGCGCTGTGCTCGCTACCGGGATGCAGAAATTGGGTTCCTTTCTCCTCTTCTAACCACTATCACCACCACCCCGCCTTGAACGAGCAGGAAAGACGCGAGGGGGAGGGTGGTGCCGCTCGGGCAGCAGCTGTCGCGATCGCTGGTGCCCGCGCTATCTCGGCAGCCATCAGCTGCCGTTTCTCATACACTTCGATGTGCGATCGCAAAGCGACTGAACGAAAATTGTTGCTCTTTCTGGCGTATTCTTTTACACCAGCATCTTTTAGAGTTACGTGAAATCGGATCCAAAAGAGTTGGATTTCAGCCTTACTTCATATAACAATACAATTTGTTGCTCTCACATTCGTTGTTGGTACCTTGCGGTGCAAATGCAACTTTTTTAACTATGTACAGCCGGCCACACATTTTTTTAACCTGAAAAAGCAAGCTTGAACCACCGAGTCCATAAGAACCGTATAACGCAGCACACCGGCGAATTGAACAATTTGCGCGCGCGCTTAACGAGCAGTCTTGTGCACTTGTCTTTACCAGGCTGTTCCGGGAGTCTGACAACATCCCACTTCCACCGTTACCGTCATCCTTTCCTTTTTCTTTCGCAGGTCTCGGGGTCAAATCCCGGCTGTGGCGGCTGCATTTTCGATGGAAGCAAAATTGCTGTAGACCCGTGTGCTCAGATTTGGGTGCACGGTAAAGAACGCCAGGTGGTCTAAATTTCTGGAGCCCTCCCCTACGGTGTCTTTCATAACCATATGGTGGTTTCGGGACGTTAAACCCCACATATCAATCAATCTTTTCCTTTTCTGAACGCTGCAATTGGGTTATAAAAAATCACTCTATCCGCAAGAGCTAAGCAATGAATGCGATAGCAACAATTTGTTATACGAAGTAAGACAGACAGCTAAGTCTTTTATATCCGATATCGCGTAACTCTACATTTCCTAGCTCTCTCTTCGCGTTGAGAACGCAGCACGTACAAGACAGCTGAGATAGCACGCGCGTCACCGACCATCAAAGTTCACAGCTGCTGCTCGATGCACGGGAACTCCTTGCAGCTAAAGTGTGGGGTGTTGCAGCGCAGTATGGCGCTCATAAGTGAGTTTGGCGCTTGATGGCGCAGCTGTTACATATATACTTTTCTCTTGAGGGATAGTGGCAATCTACTAGTCATGATTTAAGAATGCTTGGCGAATATGCTCCTCCACATTCTCATTCTTCTGGTTACTTCAATATCGTGGTTCGCTCTGCCGTTACTACCTGTCTTAAGTATGCGTACTCTTTTACAACTTCAAGTGAACTGCTCCATATATGTCGAAGCACTGTACTCGTGTTGTTGTACATAACTATGGTTTTCTGCAGATTAATTTTAAGGGTTACCTGCAGACTGGATCAGGGAACAAACCGGGGTTAAGGATATCATAGTCGAAATCAAGAAGAAGAAATGCACATGGGCCGGGCACGTAGCACGTAGGCAGGATAACCACTGGTTATTAACTGACTGGATTCCAAGTGAAGGGAGACAAAGTTAGGTGAGCGAGCAGGAAGTTTGTGGGTATAACAGCACGTACAGGACCGAGTTGAGTGGTGAATGAAACATGGGAGAGGCCTGCAGTGGACGCAGTCAGGCTCACATATGGTCATGCCACTGTCCAAGACAGAAGTAAAGCGAATGTGCAGATGTGTAACATTTGAGTGTAGACATGACGGACGCCCCGTCAGTCCCGATCCGCGGTTACTTCTGTTGTGCGTCATTCTCGCGTCAGTGGTGCATGCAGCGCGCTTGATCTCAACATGTCAATCCAAGATTGCTATTAAACTTTTGACACGAAATTACACGCTTCGAAAACACGGACTGCCGCGTAAGCGATTTTCATTCATCCGCGAGCAAGTATGAGACACTCACTGAAGCCTGTTTCTGTACGCAGGTGACCTGATGAAAGAAGAAGAGGTCCTGGAGTGGCTGAAAAAAAATCGGTACAGGCACCCTGAACTGAGCCTGTTCATGTACGCGCTGATAGCCATATCAACAGCGTTCATCTTGTACACGCTATTTCTCATCTTCTGTATGAAGGCCCCCCGTGAAAAGAAAGAGTGATCTCAGTGCAAGCCCGGTGTGAGGCCAAATCTCGCGTCGCCCCGAGAGAGAGTTTGTGGTTGCGAACGAGAAGCATTTGGGGAGAAGCTGTCGACACAAGCCAGCTCGGTTGAAATAAGGGCTCCGGATTCCCCAAACGTGGTTTCCTTCTGCCCGTTCCTTACTTCGAATACAGCGCAATGAAAAGAACTACGTTCCTATGATCGTATTTAACTATCCGTTGGAAGTACGGATGTAGTTGTTGCCCAGCCGGTGGGCGTTACGGCGTGCTTAATGAAACCAATGTTGTCCTCGCTGTTTAAAACTGCAGCACGCCACAATGTATACACTGCGGTCTGTAAACTCTCACCGAAGACAAACTCAAATCGAATATCAGAAATAGGCGTACACTCGAAACTCGATTAAACGAAGTGATGATCATGCTCAAAGTATTCCGTTGAATCGGGAAGTTAGTAAATTTCAAAAAAAAATTTGGTCCTCCAAAGCCTGAAATTTTGACGTATATATAACGACACCCAAAAGCTACCGCGAAATTATTTTATCTGCTGTCAACCAGCGCCCACACGAGCGGAAAGGGCGGCCAGCGTCCGGGCGACGCAGGCAAGGTCACGTGAAGCTGTGACAACACGTGTACAGAGAATGATTGCAGTAATTGCGTCACCAGTAGGAGCGAAGAGTAAGAAGAGAAATAAACTTGAAATAACGAAGGCAACCACTGTGGCGTTCCTGTGACGATAAGCTTCAGCCGCTTCTGACGCCACCTGGTACATGTTGAGCTCGTTGTTCTGTGCGTGGGCGTGGCCTCGTCGAAATAAAACAAGGCTTTTATCGCTGCATTACACGCCCGAAGGAAAACCAGACTGTGTCAAAATTTCAAGAATTTATCCCTTATTTCATATAATATATTTCACACAAGCTTCATTAAAGTGGATGTGGTGGGCAATTATAGTTTCGTTAGTTCCAGTTGATGACAACAGTCAAGTCTTAAGGAGAATGCAAGTTATTCGTTAGAGCGGAAACTTTGTAAAACTGGGTTTCGTCATATCTAGTTTCAAGCGTAATAGGGGACGCGGTTGGGTGAATATTCTTGGAAAGAAAGAACGTTGGCCGAGTTTGAACAGAGAGTTGAAACATGGAAAAAGACGTACCTGTCTCAATCACCGTTCATGTGACATCCTTTGTTATTTTACCCGCTATTACCGCAAAGGCCGCGACAAGTTGACGGCGTTGCAACGTTCCATCACATATACTATGTGGTATCACGAAATAAAATACGTGCATAAAACAATCCAGGAAATGAGGTCATCCTGAGCGTCGACTATTGCGTTTGCGTCGTTGGAATTGCGTGAAACAAGCCATTTCGACACTGTCGAGTCGGTATAGTGCCGACATATCATTATTGCTGATTCATCCCATAGGCAATTTTTTGCGGGCATTATGTATGGGCGATAAAAACCGTAATAACTTACCAACTAAAACTACATTATGTACAGTATAGATTCCTAATACTTTGAATACACGTAATTTATTACGGAACAATAAGCAATGCAACATCAAATATATCCATCCCAAATCCAAGACAGGCTCGTGCAACGGTCACGTCTTGTGTAAAGCGTGCTATTTTCGACAAATAACATGATGGTAGCAACGAAAGATTTATCGTCTGTGGGAAACGCGTCCCGTTAAAAATGGGCGATCTTTACGTAGCCTGGTTAGTATTCTGTGTGTGGATGCTTGTGTGATAATGCAAGGAGAGATCACTTACCATTATCAATACGTTGTTTGTGTTTCAGAAAGTAAAACCCACTGAAGCGATCGGCTGTACATCTCCCGAGATTGTAGTGTTCGTTGACAATCCTTCAGGTGCCTTCGCAGCTTCGGCAGTTAAGGCGAAGTACCGAGAAGTGTTAAGTATGCACTGAATGGAAGGACACAACCACGTTTTGTGTGAACTGACACTGCTCCGTTGTGTTCTTTACCCAATTTCTAAACATTGTAAAAAAAACTGCACATATGTACTGTTTACAATTATGTTTGTTGAACTTACTCAAGTTATTTTTTTTCTTTTGCACACGAAGCACACGGTAGGAAAGCTCGCCATTGTCCATTTAAATAGCACGCCGTAATTCTTCTATGCGCACACGTTCTAGGAAGTGGGAAAACCATCGGGTAGGTTACGCGAACAAAAATATGAAAAATATAAATTAAACGGTAAATATTGCTGAGTCAAACGCAAATCATTCAGCATTCGTACAACCATACTTGGTAGCATGCGGAATCACTCGAATCAACGCGGATAAACTTTTCCTATTTCTTGACATAGGGCGTGGCGTAAGTATATAACACTTTGTACAAGTTGTATCTTCACGCACGTGGTTCAAAAAATGACGATAATGTGTGCTTTGGCAACTCTTTACACATGAAATATGCTGTTCCAAACATGTGTATGGAGCAGTACTGTACAGAATTGTAAAGATGCATTGTAATGAGTTATCTCCATTGCAAGGTGCTTGTGTTCAACTTTATGAATCTTACTTTTACGATGCTCTGTCTGAATGATAAATTGAAAAAAAAAAAGAATGTACTTCATGCAGAACCATGACAGTGATCCCGCCTTGTATGAAGTTTTACGATGTATTCACTGTGATGGAGATTTTCTTTTCTTTATGATTTAACATGGTCTTCTATGCAAATAATAGAGAGTAGTTTTAACTTTGACATGCATATGAGGAAAAATCGTTCGGCTGATATAAACACTAGTCCACCACCAATCAACTCGATAAATCAATTCATATTCAAAGGTGTCATAAAGCCTCAGCCGGACGCAGCGAAAACGGCCTCGTGTATCAAGTGTGTACACATTATTCGTTCACAAACAGTGAGAACAATAAAGCAACACGTGTTTGTACTTGTATGGTGCTTGTGTGATAGACTCTCTTGCACTTTCGTATCAGCAAGCGGTAAGACCAGCCGAAACCACCAGCACCCTTTTTGGTACGATTCACACAACACTCACGCGGATTCAACGAGAAACCTTGCTTCTACCATGCAGCATAGGTCATCAACTAAGCCCATCCCATGCCCTGACGCATGGAGTTGGCCAGGAAAAGGCGGGACTTCCAGCGAGAAACTACTGGCCCGGGCTAGGACGCTGGAGAACACCGAGTTAGGTCCCCGGCGTTGGTCGCGGAACAGCCCAGAGTTGGTCACCGGATGTGGGCTGAGAAGGGCGGCTCGCCGCCACTCAGCCAGTCGTTTCGGGGTGCAGGCTCTCTCGTCCTGGTTAATGACGGCTAATAACGCGTTCGCAGTTAAAAAAAAATTGGCCCGGTATCAGCATTTAATCTGCAAATGTCGTTGAAGGACGATAGTCGTGCGTGTGGAGAGAGTGAACAAAACATATATATGATGTTGTGCTCAGGAAAATTGGTGAATGGTATTCTGGAGACGCTGCGTTAGAGTACATCGAGGGTGCAGCGGAGGCAAACGAGCGCATCAAGTCATGTCACACGCGAGACATAACCGCCATCTGGCAGTTTTTTTTTTTTTCAAGAACAAAGCTCGTGGCTTTGAGACGGGTGTGCGCGCCCGCCTCATAGGTGATAAGGTGTAAAACGCAAGACGACGGGTAGGTGCCACCATTGTCTCGTTTTAGGTAAGGCCCCTGTAGTTTTAGCAAAGCGTTGGAAACACTCGCCTTTCCGTGCAAGCGTTGGTTGGATGGTCAGCGCAGCGTGATAAGCGCTACGGTCCATAAAATCATTTATGTATGCTTTTTCTACTAAAAGGCGCACATGCATAATATATACGTGTTGTTATGGTGCCCCAGACAAGCGCAATAATTGCTTTTTTATTCGACAACTGCTCAAGTATGAACGCTGAATCTTGAGCAACATAGGTGGGCGCTGCGAATGGGGTCGACCATTTCAAATACCCGATGCTGTAAAAAGTGGACAAACAGACAAATGTACAGACAGACAGACAGACAGACAGACAGACAGACAGACAGACAGACAGACAGACAGACAGACGTGCCCGCACCACGGAAAGCCGGGCGATAGGTGGAGCGAGGGACAGAGTCTGTGTAAAGTCCCTTAATATAGAGAAAGTGTTGTGTAATACTACCCAAGATAGAGCGCGTGTCGTATATAAGATAAGATGCACATGGAAGTGTCTGGCTCTCTGACGTCACTGTTAAGTTCTTTGTTAGATATAAGACCGCCGCGGGTGTGCGGTGCGATTCTTTTCCGTTGTATTGCTCGTTGAAATAAACATGTGTGTGTTGGCTAGTCGGCTCCCAAGTTGTGAAGACATAACAGTGGCGACGAGGATGGGATGATACTCGGGCACGTTAGCCGGGCCTCGGCTGTAGCTCACGTCACGGCACCAGTATTCTAGGAGCGGAAAGCGTCCTGGTGGATTACCACGACATGGCTTCCTTTGGCCGGTTTGAGCCGTTCACGGAAGAGGGAGACGAAGACTTCGACTCATATGCGGAACGCTTTGAACATTACGTCCGGGCGACCCAGGTCAGTGAAGACTTGAAGGTGTCAGTCTTTGTCACCGCCATTGGAAAACAGGCCTACCGCACGTTGAAGAATTTATTGGCCCCGACCAAGCCGGAAGAGAAAACGTACGACGAACTGCTCCAAATACTGAAAGGGCACTATTCCCCGAAGCCTTTGGTGATAGCGGAAAGATTCCGGTTCAACCGTCGGTCGCAGCGGGAAAATGAGTCAGTTGCCGCATTTGCGTTAGAATTAAAAAGGCTGGCTGGATCGTGCGAGTTCGGCCAATTCTTGGATGACGCCCTGCGGGATCGGTTCGTGGCCGGACTGAGAGATGAAACGGCACAAGCAGAGCTGCTTAAGAAGAGTACCCTGACGTTTCAAGCTGCCTATGACCTGGCGAAAAGTGGGGAACTCGCTCGCACAGAAACCAGAAAAATTCACCCCAAAGAACTCGGTGACGTGAACTTGGTGCGGCCACACCACCCCCAACGGTCCACAGGTACGAAAAGGGGCGTGAGCGGTAACGCGGAGCGGCATGCCGAGGCGACGGACTGTTCGCGTTGCGGAGCAGCGCATGACGCCACCACCTGCCCTTTTCGCAAATATCGATGTCGTGCCTGCAAAAAGGTGGGACACCTGGCAAGGGTCTGCAGAACAACGCCACGTTCGGTGCATTCTCTCATCGATGGTACTGGCTTAGAAGACTCGGGTGACTGGGACGATAAAAGTGGTGAGAACGAGGTCTTGCTTAGTCATATTTTTTCATGTCGGAGTAGTCACGGTGGCTACGCTGTGAAAGTTAAGATCGCAGGCAGGAATGTCACGATGCAGGTTGATACCGGAGCCTCTGTGTCTATTGTGCCAGAAAAAATGTACAGACAGTATTGGCCGAATGTACCCCTAGAAAGATGTAGTTTACGGTTAAAAACGTATGGCGGTTCCACACTAGCAGTTGCCGGAAAGTTGACGGTGCATGTAGAGCACGACGGGCAAACCGAGACCTTGCCGTTGATTGTAGTCCGGACGGAAAAAATTGTGACACTTTGTTGTTGGGCCGCAACTGGCTAGAGGCTTTGAAGCTGAATTGGGCAAGCGTGTGTAATATCAACTTTGATAAAGCAAACACACATGATAGATCAGCCGCACTCATCGAAAAATTTTCGGAAGTGTTTAATCAATCACTAGGACTGATAGCTGACACGTCGGTCAAACTGGTGCTAAAAGACAGCTGTACGCCTGTTTTCTGCAAACATCGGCCTGTGCCATTCGCACTCCGGAACGCGGTAGCGTCGGAGTTGCAGTCGCTAGTGGAATCTGGAGTACTGGTTCCAGTAAAACACAGTGAATGGGCAACGCCTCTAGTAGTTGTCCCCAAGGCAAACAACAAAGTGCGAATATGCGGAGACTACAAAGTGACCCTAAACCGTTGTCTGAGAACTGATTATTACCCTCTGCCAACAATGGAAGATACGTTTGTAGCGCTGCATGGATGCAAGTGGTTTACTGTCCTTGACCTGTCGACAGCGTACCAACAGTTGCAGCTGCACCCCGAGTCGCAACCCTTGGTCACTGTCAACACCCACCTAGGCCTTTTTCAATATACACGTACAATGCAGACGGCACCTGAACCGAAGGCGGGAAACACTCCTGGAATGTTCGTGGTCTCATATGATCAACATGCACGTACCTCTCCTCGTTCCCTATCCCTATCACATAAGTGCTTAAACTCTCGCGTTTTTTTACCTTACCGCTCAACCACTCTCCTTCCCCGGGGCGCAGTCCTTGTACGAGGACGTCTTCCCCTTCCTCGAAGTCTCTCCAAGCTCCACGTCGCCGATTGGCTGCCTGCCTTGTTCGCTCTAGCTTTTCTTTCATCCTTTGCTCGATATCTGGATGGAGAAAGCTCAACCTGGTTCTAGGTTTCCACGATAAGAACAGCTGGGCCGGCGTCTCTTCAGTAACACCTGTTGGCGTGTTCCTATAATTGAATAGGAATTGGTCGATCCGCTGCTGGAGAGACTTCATCCGCCCATTCTTCTGCTCGTCCATGACCTGCTTAAGAAGATTTTTCTTTAACGTCTGTACACAACGCTCTGCGCTGCCATTCGATGCCGGGTGATAAGGCGGCGATTTAGTGTGCCGGATGCCATTACGACTCATGAACGTCTCGAAAAGTTCCGAAGTAAATTGGGGCCCATTGTCTGTTACCACTTCTTCCGGTAATCCGTACGCGGCAAATACGGTGCGCAATTTCTCTATTGTCTTTTCGCTATTAGTTGACCTCATCAGAAACACTTCAACCCACTTGGAGTACGAATCAATAAGTACTAGGAACCAATGCTGGTCTCGATGCGCAAAATCTAAGTGCACACGCTCCCACCGGCGCCCCGCCACTCCCCATGACATCACCGGAACCTTGGGCGCCGCATTTTGCGTCAACTGGCATGTTACACATTCTTTAACTTTTTGCTCAACATCCGGCGTAAGGCGAGGCCACCATACGTGGCTTCTAGACAGCATTTTCATACGTGCCATTCCAGGATGGCCCTCGTGCAACAGTGATAGCACTTTGTCGCGGAGAGACAATGGTACTATCACCCGGTTTCCCCACGTCACACATTCTCTGTCAACAGAAAGCTCGTGGCGTCGCACAAAATAGGGCGCCAGTGCATCGTCAGACACTTTTGAAGGCCAACCGCTCTGCGTGTAAAACAACACTTTTGACAACAGGCTGTCTGTTCTCGTTTCCCTTCTGATGTGTTCTGCGGAGAGTGGGAGCTCGTCTAGCATCGAAAAGCCGATGTACTCCGACACGTCATCAGAGTTCCGAAGCGGCAGGCGCGATAGTGCGTCTGCATTGCCTATATCGCGTGATTTGCGATAAACCCATTTGTACTCATACGCAGCAATCTGCAGAGCCCATCGCTGCACGCGTGCCGCTGACATCGCAGGAATCGGCCTATCCTCTCCCAATAATCCCGCCAAGGGCTGATGGTCTGAGTATATTACAAATTTTCGCCCAAAAAGGTACTTGTGAAACTTCTTTAACCCGTACACGACAGCCAGTGCTTCTTTTTCGATATGGGCGTACGCCTGCTCTGTTTTAGTGAGCGTTCTAGAGGCAAAAGCGATTGGCCTTTCTTCTGATCCTACCTTGTGAAAAAGGACTGCGCCTCGGGGAAGGAGAGTGGTTGAGCGGTAAGGTAAAAAAACGCGAGAGTTTAAGCACTTATGTGATAGGGATAGGGAACGAGGAGAGGTACGTGCATGTTGATCATATGAGACCACGAACATTCCAGGAGTGTTTCCCGCCTTCGGTTCAGGTGCCGTCTGCAAACTACGAACTTCCCGCATGCACCCAAGACGTTGTGCCTCGCAGGTCTTTAGGTGCCCCTGTACCCAT